CATAAACATCAATAAAATAAATAGTTCAGCCATTTTGATAAATATTTTTAAAACCTTTTAAGTTTAGAATTTGGACGTGGAATTGATGATCGACGATATCGATGTTTTGGACATTAATATGAAATGAGTTATAAATTGATATATAATTCACACTTAGATAATAGATCTATTTCCATGTGATTTGATCCGACATCAATAGACGTCTTGGAATACGAAATTTTCAATACCACAATCTGTCTATCCAGACTGAAATCATTGTTGACCATACTCACGTGTTCTTATTGTAGATATAAGATTATGTGCTTGCTCTTGGTGAACTCGAGTACAAGCTAATCACAATTTTATGCGACATGTCACCTAGAAATAAATCATGTTAGAAGTAAATTTTAATGCCCCATCTTATACACGGAGATGTGGGCGTCTGTATACAATTCCATATACAATATATACAGGTCTTTTACGAGTTATCGCCACATCTGTAAACAGAAGGCTATCTCGCTACACCCGTACCCACACTAATATCATGAAGTCATTCAGTCTTTTCTAGTGAAAGGCTACGGGGTATTTAAATGACCACGCTTCAGGCCTTGTGATACACGGGTTTGCTTTTGTTTTTTTATAACAATTTACACTTATAATCAATTGTTACTCATCAGAAATATTTTTACGATCCCATTATTTGTTTGTGTTATTGATTCTGTCTTTGTAAGCTGTTATGGTAGTTTCTATCGCCTTTGTGAAACACTTAGAACACCTCTTGTCTTCATAGTAAAATCTCTTTCGCTAGAGCATGGAATACTTCCTATCACTTATGAATATATTAAACATTGAATAATCGGTCACTGGATATTTTTTAGTTTGTTTGTTTGGCTTTTTTTTTTTTTTTTGAGAAATTGATATTGTGTTTGATATAAATATACAATCTGTGAGCGTCTTGAATGATTTGAGTTTTAACACTTCTTAGTGCTGTGGTTTTCTGAATTACAGCATATTCTACTGTCTGAAGAAAGAAAATAAGTTTTCCAGTGATGAATGAAATAAATTGTCTCTCTTACTTTTACGCATTAAACTCATTATTATCTCTTCCTGGGTATTTTAATCCTATTTTCACCCAGTCTTTATAATTAGTATCTTGCCCTGGGTATTCTAATCCTATTTTCACCCAGTCTTTATAATTAGTATCTTGCCCTGGGTATTCTAATCCTATTTTCACCCAGTCTATATAATTAGTATCTCTCCCTGGTTATTTTATTCCTATTTTCACCCTGTCTAGATAATTAGTATCTCTCCCTGGGTATTTAATTCACATTTTCACCTGGTCTGTATTAGTTCCCTTAGTAATGCATTAGTAATCTGTTATTTTATTTACTTAATGTCTCTAAGCACGACATTTGTCTTTTCTCGCTATTAAGAGAATATTTCAATTGTAAACGTCCCAATTATATCGTAGAACGCAAATATTGTTTTTATATCACAGGCTGCAATTGTTATGAAGTTATAAATATCAGCTTATTTATATTCAACCCAGACGATTTTAGAGGAATAAAATAAGCAAGTTTTGTTGATTTACATGACATAACATGATTTCGATTGGGCGATAATTTTAGCCTAGATACTAATTGATTATGTGAATCAACAATCTTTATATGCTAGGTTAAATAAAAATGAAAATAATGTTGAAAAGAATGATAACTAACAATTGATTGATGAAATATAAATCGATTTTTATATAAAAAAGTTGATAGAAAAATTTCAGACTAAATTACTGATTGAATGCATTTTATTTTATTTCCTTTATTTTCATATTGGAATAAAGATTAATAAAAAAGAAAATATAACACCGATGTTTACACGAACACTCATGAATAACACCTCAGTTATGTACTTTCATTGGCAAATCTTACACGAAATTAATATATTTACAAAACAAACAGATTATACGCCGCATGTGTGAAATCGGATTTCAAGTATTGGCTACGGGTATCATGTGACTATTACAATGTCTTGTTGATATTTGGAGACGACGGATTAAGGTGAATTTGAACGGATATAAGCCCTTATGAATTGAATATCAAATAAGACTACCCTACCTGAGTCTGTCCGACTTAAAAATCAAACGCATGGTGTGCTTATCGACATATTATACATGACAATGTTTTACTTATATCTGTATATAACAAAGTAATTGTATGATATCCCAGTAGGAACTTTATCTATATATGTAAACAATTCAGCCATGTTCATCAATATTCGAGACATAAAGTGAAATATTGATATAAAGAACATATATCAGTGGAGATTTCGAGAGTAAAACCCTCGATGTGTTGGTATGGAGCTGGCCACTCAATCTATTTATTTATTCTTAGGCTGTTTGCTGTGATACATATGTATTGTAACACTCGGCGATGTATGAATGTCTATACTACATATTGATACATACGTGAATAGTGTCGTGAAATTAATTTTTAATGAACATTGTGTAAAGAAGACGTTTTGGAATATGCACGTGACCGGTTTAATGCTTTTGCACAGGGAATCGACGGGTATGGTTTTTTTTAAATTTGATTGTAAATCTTTGAAATCAATTTGTATGAAACGATTATCAATGGGTAAGTTTGAGGTATCAATATTCTCACAAAATGTCCTTTGGTTGTGGTTAGATGTGTTACGTACATAATGGGACTTATGATGGAATTTAACAATTACGATTTATCAGTTAGTTAGAATACAAATCATATGAAAATTCATAACTTCTGAGAACAAAAAATACTCTTTTCATTACTTAATTTACATTTCAGTCCCAGTATCATGATTTATATATCTGCTGTTACTTTCAATGTGTAGCACAGTTGTACAGGAAACTGTAACTGTGATTGTATTGACGCCTGAGCCAGGCCACAACAGCTTAAATTTCTGTACATAGGACTTGTTTTGAAACTAAATATATATATATAAAACGGCTTAAATATAGACTGCTACCTAGCTAGAGAATACAAAAGTTAAGTTGTTCTACAGAGCAGAATTGTTTGAAGATAAAACCTATAATACATGTTTTAAAATAACGGTATCAATATATGTGTTGTTTTGTATATTGATATCATAATAAGCGATAAAGGCATGAGAGCTTAAGCAATTTATAACGTTATTTAATCTATATATCAATATAATTACTGCTTACCTGGAGAAGGTCTCATTTCATTTCATTTCACTTGTGATATTCGTAGAAATTTAGGATACGAAAATACAGAAAACATAATCATACTGATTTTGTTTACCCCAGATTTTCTGCGGCGGCAAGATCGAGAAATGAAAAAGAGGAAACGGGCAGCGAAAATTGAACAGCCAAAAGTTCAGAATTTGGATAAATACCAGCCTCATAGTGTTCAGGAGGAAGTCCGCGACTTCAGTCTCTATGGCAACCTCAGAAAGGCGGATACTGAAGTGAGAAATCCACTTCCTTCACCAGAATGTAAGTTTGAACCCTTTTTCTTTCCTCATTCACAGAAAGACGATATCAATCACTTTTTACCAGTAGCAATATCTGAATAGGCACTTAAATTATTCATATTTTGCAGTGATCGACCGAGAGAAACATCTCCTCGAATTTGACAAACAGAGGCGGAAGAAACCCCATGATGTTCATTACAAAGCTTTTTACCGGTATTTGTCACCAGCCTTGTCAGACCACTATGCAGTCATACCGAAAAGTATTCCAAATAGTGCAACTACCACCGGGGACAGAACGGGATAATATCTGCTGCCATATCACAGAGAACGATTCATTTATAAACACGTGCCAAGTCGGTTAAGGAATGTTTAGGTCAATGTAAGATGATTATGTGATCTAAATATGATGTCGACTCTAATTCTACATCAGGACTATATCTTTAACTAGAGTAAATCCTGTTATACTGATGGACATTGTAGCGGTTCTCCTTGACATCGACACTGTTAATGCTGTCGGTCCAGGACTAACCTTGATGTGTTTACGTTCAATTGGTATGAAATACGTTCATGCTGTAAATGTAGTTCGATATTCATCACAATGGATGCAATCCGCCTTGATGTGATCATAATTCTGAAGAGACACAGACATAAATCAGATATATATTAATTTATATTTGTTGTAACCTTGTAGATCTATGTTAAACATACCTATTCGTCAACAGGGCGCAATTACCATAATAGTATCCATGAATGAAACACAAAATGTCATTTGCGTGTTGTATTGGTGGGGATGTGGTACATGTACCATGAGAGTGATGTTGTGTATGCTATCCATTCATTATTGTAAAATAGGATGTGCTTTTTTGCTACCTGGCGTTCCAGATAAACATAGATATTATTCGATGCGTTCTGATTACAGACAAATGATGAAGGTGTTGGGGCTATACTGTTACACTAGCAATTCTTAATTAGTTAGCTTGGGAGCCTTAACATATTTACTGTTGGAAATTTGTCACGATTAGGAACTCTTTTGAAATGAAGGCGATTTACTACATGTCATTGGGGTAATTCTGTAAAAAATCAACCCTGGCGGTAAATATCAATCTACTGATTGTTGTCGTTCAACGATCTCATGTTTATCATATCGTCATCATATGAATAGATATACTTTTGAATATAGATAAACGTTTTTATTTTACGAAAATCACTGCAAGTCTACTGCTCTTTAATCATAAATTTACAATATTATATTCGAAAACCTACTCTGCGGAATCTCTGCGATCATTAGCGTTCGTTCTAAGATGTTGATCAAGGTAGCTTTGGAGCTTTTTATCTGCGTACCTGTTACAAGCTAGTACAATTCGTGTATAATTCAGTTTATTATAACAGTGTGATGACATATACCTTAAAGTATTCATGACGAATAAATGACGAAATATTTAAAGGCATATGTAGATTTTTTTTTCATGCACAATTCATAAAAATCGTGAACAATGAAGCTCTTTCTGTATCATGTATTTCAAGGATGGACGATCTAACATATTATAGATGTATTTCAAAGATGTTTTCTATAGATCAAGATTATCTCATCGAAGTGCAACGGAGAAGAAAATATTACCAGTTAAGGATCCTTTTTCTCTCAACGCCAAGAAAGTATTAACATGTGAACATAATCATAATCTAAAATATAATTCAATACAACTAAAACATAAATACTAACAAGGAGACTCATGAAAAAGTACAAGGAGAATAAAACCAGGTGTTCCGGAAGAGTAAGCGTCTCCTGCTTCAATGACGAAACCTAACTTAAAGACCTTCGTGAATCCAAGTAAATAATATCTCGTTTCCAAATTGGAAAAAAAGGGATGTAGCATATGAACCAATAGGCAAATAATCAGCAACAGACTCGTTTAGCTTCATTTTGAAATAATTGAACAGCTTGTTCGAATTACTACTGCCTTCCTGCATGCCTGGCTGCACGGCTGAGTGTTGTCCCTGATTTCATATACAATTCATCTATCGCTCGTGAGGCAAAGGATCGCCAACTACCCCGTAGAATATTGGCCAGAATCTTATTGTAGAATTATTTAGCAGAGTTTTGAATGAACCTGATATATTTTAAAGGCATGGTGAGAGTGGACGAGGCTGGAATGTGCTGAAACATCTTTCCCAAAGCTTGATATGGAATATCTCGAAACCACCACATGTGGTGCCTATCAAATGAAGCAAGCCACAGGATACAGAACACCTGACGTTGATTTCAGATGACATGTTTAGGTAGTGTTCCATAAAAAAAATCCCTCCAAATAGGTATACCTTAAAGCTGATGGAGGTCTGTGCGTCTCGGTAACCCGAAAAGTCACATAGATGATGTTTGAAAAATCCTTATAAGTCACCAAAACCAGATAGGTTAATGGATAGAGAACAGATTGCATGTTAACCACACCCTTCTTATCATGTTTGCTGGCAAAGTACTGTCTGATCATTTACGTTAATGGAAAACATTAACGTTTTTATGTTAATGTTTCCAACACTGTTGCATTAAGGCTTATTACCAGGCATGACATTATAAATATTATACATATCATAAATTAATACTCAATTACCTCCACCTATTTTAATATGTATAAATCGTTTTGTCATACCTGCATAAAGCATCATTATTTTTCAGTTAATGACTTTTCTAAAGGACTTGTTTGCATAAAGATGACTTTAAGAATTCTTGACATCATTTCAGTAGCTGCCCTTTAATTTATGTTCATTATGCTAGACTATCTTCCTGAATTTGATTTATTCTGAAATTAGTTGTTTGTATAGAAGATACATAAAAGCCAATTTTGAAATGAGTTTAAATGGTGAACTAATGTTGACATGATGGTTTGATGATTCAAACCTCAACATTAAGATTTGACAAATTGGAAATTCTTCATTCATTTGCACACACACACCCTCCATGTTGAATTTGAGTGAGGTATCGTTCCAAAATGATAATATTTGATGTGGAAATGGAGTACCAATAGTCTTCAATGACTCTGACAGAGAGTTATATCCTAAAATGTAGACATTGAACACGTTTGTGGCACTCATAAATAGGTAGGGTAAAAAGTGAATTACAGGTCTTGTGGACCTTTTTTCATTTCACAACTGTATGAAGAGGCAAATTGTCTCGAAAATATGATAATTCACTTGTGCGTACTGTCGTTATAACTTCATTGACCATATATTCATATATCTATCACCTCGTTCACGTCTTTAGATGATTTGCACGAGTTATCTATCTTGCTACATGATATATATGCTACTTAGCAATACCTTTTAGAAATACTATCTTGAAACGTTTTTAATGATATATGTGGTTCCATGTAATTATGAAATTTATTGAAATATGGGGCTAGTGCACCTGCTATTCTAGACTTTAACTTTTCCCTAAATCAATTCGGATTTTTCTCAGTCGCTTCGTTGGCTTCAGCGCTTTGGCCCTTAGCATCACTGACGCGTGCTAGAAGGACGAAACAGCTGTATGGTCCTGTTCTGTATCTAACTTTAAATTAGTATTTAAAGATGATATTCACTTGTGTGGCTATTACGATCTTTGAAACAGTACTTGGTAGACACGGTTGGTGGACGTTTAGACCCCGAGGTTTGCCCTAACCGGCATGTCACGTTCATTCGAATCAATTCGACACAGTTCAGAATAAACACATATATTTGACATTGCTCTGAAATTATATGTTTTGAAAATGATTGATTGATGGGGCTAGCCATCTCCTTATATATATTATGTCCTTCTTTTGATCAATTTGGATTATCTTCACTCGCCTCCTAGGCTTCAAAAGCCCTTATCATCAATAACATTTAATTAATTGTTTGGCTCCATTGTATCTAAATTAAGTCTGAATTTGAATTTGAAGATTCTTTTCACTTGAGTGTGTTTGTACACTCTCTTTTGATTGGTTTGTTTTTATCCTAAAGATGAAACGAATAGTTTGGCCACAAGAGAACAAATTTACCTCCCCGGAAAAACTATCTCAGCTGACCATTTTACCTTTATATACCAAATAATGGCTTCAGCTATATTGTTGTTAAATGAATGAAAGTGAGTATATCAAATCTGTAAAATGTTGACAGAGATAAACATATATTTGAAAAATAAACACGTGTTTGAAAAATTAACAGTCCAAATGACATATTCTGGCTCATAATTTGCAACATGTCCATTATTAAGAAAATATCATTATTTGATATCAAACTAGTTCAATAACATATAATTGTTTCGTGGAATGATATGTAAGTGCAGATTTATTGATCAGGGACTGAGAATGTCTGAAGAATGTTTTGCCTTCCTGAGGTTCCGCATTTCTTCTGATGTCCATTGAGTCGGTCCCGAATCTCCTACCTGTTTTTCCGATATTTGATGCGTCGCATCCGATTTTGTATATGCATTCTGTCAATTTCTCTTTGGGTGTTTTATCCCTTGGATTGACCAGGACATTTCGGAGAGTCTTGTGAGGTATTATGGCTGTTGCAATGCAATAACCACAGTAAGTCTTGCAATGCCATGACCACGGTAAGTCCTCTACTGATTTCCGACAGGCCTTTGATGTCAGTGATTATATTTTGTCTTTTCGTTTTGTTCTTTTGCTTGGTGTTTCGTCTCTAAGTCATTTTGCTGTTATCATCAAAATCATTGTTAACTTTCTGGATTTCTCAATCAGTGTACCATATGTTTTCACGACACTATGGATGTGATATTGTTCTTATTGAACAAGGTTCGTACAACACCACACTTCAGGTGTAAGAAATGGTGCGATCGGAAATTGAGGTATTGGTACGTGTGCGTCTTTTTCCTTTTTACTGGGAAGGTGTCAAAGAATGGGATAGCGCCAATGATTTCTTCCTCAAACGTTAATTTGCTGCTGTTGATGGTATCTACGATATGTATATGATTAGTCAAATTCTTGTTTTACTATTTCCAATATCATATCAACACTTCCACAGACTGGGGTTGCATTCTGCGGGACATATGACTATAACCTCCTTCTCCATGTATTCCAAGAATACGTTGGCCCCTATCGGATACACTCTGTTGCACATAGATGTGACAAACTGTTGCCGATAGATGGTACCTCAGAAGTTGTTGTTGTAAGCACAAATTCTAGAAAATCCACATTTATCTTCGATTGGCTGTGTTATTAGAATCTAGTATATATACATTAGAACATGTGAGATCACCAAGGTCATCTTTACTCATGTAAATAGGTTAGACAGATTCTCAATGATATATTCTTATAGAACTATACATTAAAGAAGTATTTGCTCTTGAACTACCAAGTGAGGCAGCAGACCTCGTTCACAATTAGCGGATGAAGAATCCCTTCAATACGCAAGGTCAACGTGAAATAATTACACATACAACTATTATTTTGTAGCCAATGTAAATATATTGGTGTTGGTCGCCCGCCACAAATCTTTTCACAATAATTCTGTTTCGAAAAAAGACTGAACTAACTGTCAAGATATCGCCGAGGTCAGCTAGCTCCAGCGTTATCTCACCAACTGAAAAACGTATGTACTTTCTGTTTTGTCACGTTAATTCAAAACGTATGCGTCCATAACATGAAGCGGAACATTCTTGTCGGGTAAGGGACGCATAGCATTTCGAAATGGACCAAGTGACTTGACAGAGTGCAAGCTGCACCGCTGTCATAGTTACGACCTTGGCATTGGTATGTACATATGATCACAGTGTCGATTAATTCTTCCAAAGTTTGCAGTCACCATAGACACATTTAAACTTACATCATTATGGTTCGTTATCAATCTGTAATTATGACTAAGATGATGAATACTTGATGAAAACCTATGCTCAGTAAGTAATATTTGTAGATACTACCAATTGGTGATCTGCCAAAAAGGTGTTCTGTACAGGATTAAAAACTTTGCTGTTGGTATTTTATTTAATAAAATTAGAATATATGAACTGAAAGAAAATCTCTAGTGTAGATGTGGACATTGGAATGAGCCTAGTATTTTCCAAGCAGCACTGGCAGACGCCACATGATAAATTGTTTATATACGGTTGTGTATTGAACGAATGTACATACAAAATCAATATAAGACTTCTAAATACAAAAAATGCCTAATATAGACAACCACTTATATATGCCAATTAGTCGACAAAAATTCTCCAAGAGATTTGCATCATCAAAATCTTATACCAACAGTAGTTGTTATAGAATACAAGGATATCTATTTTCGTCCAAACTGGTACATTTTGCATGATCGTACCAGACAGTTACAACTTTGCGGAAACAGGTCATGTCGAAAGAAAAAAAGTCCTAAATCAGTTCCTGCATCGTGTTGAAGCTCATAACTGGGAATGTCGGTATAGCTGTCATTTCCGTGGATTAAAAGATCAGAACTAACCACATCAGGGGTCCTGTGATTAATGAACGAGTGTACATAGGGATAGTAACGATCACAATATATGAGATAGGATTTCCTGACGAAACCGGCAGAGGCACACTTGGAACCAATTCCACAGCAGTCCACCCTTTGAAGAAGGCAATAAAGCATTATTAATTTCATACAATAATTTGTACAAATTAGCAATTTTTTTCTAGATTAGGATTTTGCAATATCGTCCATTTCGTATATCACGTTTTTATCGATTATTGAATTATAGATATCATACAAAACTCATCACGAGCGCAAGTTAATTTAGTATTACATACATTCTTTACACGTGACAGTATTAAAGAAAGAAAATAAGATAACCATACAGACAAACGTATTATCTTTTTCCTCTTAAGATATACTGATATAATGGAGTATTGATACCCAAACAGCCTGTGTACTTCAAGTTCTTCACGCTTATACTTATGTACTACGCTTATTTCATTCGAAATGCTGGATGAGACTGAGTTCAAAGAGAACAGTATAAAGTTGAACTCTAAATGTTGATTTCTAAATTATATCTCCATTGACAAAATAATATTCAATATATCACTATATATATTTCTCGAAACTATGTTTTCTCTTAAATAACTGAAACTCAATAAAATATAATAAACAGCGAGTTTCATATAAGGCAAAAAAAAAAAAAAAAAAAAAAAAGGCAACAAAGGTGATAATTTTGTGTGTGTCATTCTGTTTCATTTCTCAATATAAATTTTGTGAAACAGTCCTTTAAACGAAAAAGAAAAAAGAAAACCAAGTTTGATTCCAGTGACTTGTTCACGAGATTTCAGTAACATGTCGAGTTCGCGGCGATTTTCTTCCCTTCCGCATGTTTATATCATTCCGCATTGCTAATTTGCATGGTCGTCATTCCAACCCCGTATGGAGCCTTATATCCGGTCGCTAGGACTTTTGAGGATTTGAGGTCAATAGTGACCTGTCTATAGAGCGAAAAAAGTTGAAAGCTAACAGATATTTAATATATTACATGACTTCGTATAGAAGTGACCCAGTCATAGAATTCAAACAATTCATCAGCCAATAACAAGCCCCTCTGAACCGAAGAAAATGGATTTTCTTCGGCCTTGAATTTAATCATATATTTAAAAAAAAAACCGTCATAGTTGTATGTTCATTAAATGTAAATTTAGGACACATAATTCGATTATCATTATCAACGTTTTAATTCACGACGAATACTTCGTGAAAATAAATTTCACGCGAAAGAATGTTGGGTTACAGTAGTTTCACGAGGAATTTATTCAATAACACAAAAACGACTTGATTTTTATTTGATGGTTTCCTAAGATTTTGAAGACGTCATCGTACTATTTTAATTCAACATGTTAAAATATTGGAGTTACCTACAACCAGCAATAACTCTGCCAAGGGTCTGAAACCGACAGCAATCGATAACCGCGAACAGCTATGCTTGAAATTGTGTACACTTTCAGTGCGAATGATACCATTTCTAAGCCTGGTCGACTTCGAATAGTCGATTGCTACTTTCTTTTGCACCATAGATACAATGTAAAACTCACATGCTAATTGGCCGAAGTGTTATCAAATGATATATCTCTTATCATCCAAATCCAGTGTTCGTCACTGCGTTTAATTGTTGGACAAATAATACGAATTTGTTAAGAATTTTCAATGTGCAAAAAATATGTTTCGTTGGATCATCACATGCCTCTCAACAAAAATACTCACCTCCTTTCACAGAGAACGAATGTAACGTTCTGTAAGTTTGGGAAAACCACTATACACAGCTCATTCCAGCTTCTCCAAAATCCAAGTAATTTCTTCTGTTGAAAGGGACATTTATTGCTTTCACTGAAAAAAAGCATGTAGTATGTAAACCAATTGAATAGCTCTTTTACGTGCAATTTGTCAACAGATTGAAACAATTGACTGGATATGATTACGCGATCTCATTGTCATTTGGAAGCTGGTAAGTAACTTTGTTCGATAGCAGTACTGAAATGTGCTTCAATACAAATACATATTACTGACGACATAAGTTCTGAGCAGTCTTAATTTATCTTGAAAATCATTTTTACAGTTTTTTAATATCCTAATTATTTAATATACAATCCCTATTGAGTTTGATAATCTTGACATGACTAAACATACATCAGTCAAGTGTGCATTTCAGCATGTTAAACATACCTCCCATTGGACGCGTCAAATTTACATTTAGTATCCGCCTCGTCATCGCTTGAGCTCCCGGGTATTTGTAAGAGGAACTGTTTAGCTTGTTTATCCAAAATCAGTGCATTCCGGAGACGTATTCTGAAGCAACATATAAAACCATACCTTAGAATAATACTTATTTCAGGGATTACATTTTACGATAAAAAAAATCTCATTAATGATTTACGAGTTCTCTTGAGTTATGTCACAGCTACTTCCCTACATCATTTTCTTTTACATAATTACACATTCATTAAAACTTTGCATTTCTCCTCTCTGTTTTTGGTATTACAGTCGAACTCTTATTATCTAAGACTCCGTTTAATTAGAAGAGTTTCGTTGTTCCTGTCTAACTTTACACAAAACATTCTCACATCAATCAAATATTAGGTTATCTCGAAATTTTTCCTATGGTCTCATCTAGTTCGAGGTAACGAGGTTTGAGTGTGGATCTTGAAAAAGTACTAGATATAATGATTCGATAACATTAATGAAAATACACGCGTGTCCACAAAATCATAGTTGAAAATTGAATCCGATACAAGAACAGAAGAAAGATCTGCAAGTAGAATCCTTAAGCAGTAAAGGAGAATATGACCATGTGTTCTGGTAGAGTAAATATTTTCTGTTTCATGGACGGCAATCGCCAATTTAGGACGAACAGTACCCAAGCCCTCAGTATTTGGATTTTCTCTGTAGGTTTTGTAAGGTGTGGTGCTATTACTTTGCTGATCATCGCTATTTTCTGACCATTTTATACAACCAGTTCACAAGTCAATCACTGAAAACTGTTTGACACCAATGTCTAAAATGTCCGGCAAATTATTTGAACTTGAATAAGTTATGCTTTAGAAATTTTACACTTTATAGCTCTTAATGTAATGCTGTGAGATATTGTGGTTTGTTTCAGAAACAGAATTTATGAATGAGCCATTGTAAATAAAATTTTATTTTTGTTGATGACACATTGCCTCACAGAAACGAGAGATTGTCCTTGTATTCGTTCGCAGGCTTAATTGCTAACTATATCTTTTTCTGCCTGAACATGGCCAACTTAGAATACACGTTCAAGTATTAATGATATCAGAATTTGAATATAATTATACACCACATTACATATTCAATTGTTAATGATATCGAAATTCAAATGTCAGTGATGCTTTTGGTGTATCTTCTATCGAAAGATTTGCTAAAGTACAGTCAATATTACCAATGAGTAAAAGCAAGAGACGGTGGTATCGGTCTCTCGCGAAACACAGGATCGCTACTTAAGTAGTATGGCATCTAAGTGATGAAGATATTAAATCTATTACCTACTAGTGTAACAAATACAATATAATTTACAGCTGTAATTACACAGAGTAGTATCGACAACACTACAAATATAAACGATATTTCAGATACATTTTCGTTTGACATATCTATTGAAAATATGCCAGTTTATTATGTTAAGAAAATTAAAACATAATTGACTATTAAGGATTTTATATAAATATCCCGAAATGTTTATTGGTCAGAAAAGGGCATGTAGGTAGGAACGATGATAAACTCACTTGAATATAAGAAGTTCCTTCGTTTCTGGGAGTTCCCATAAATGTTGTTTGGGTTTCAAGCATTCATTATCTAGCTCGATATCGCAGTCCGAAGGAGGAGGAGGTTTAACTGTACTTGTGGTACTTAATGGCTTGGTAGTGGTAGTTGTCGGTGTAGTGGGGGTAGTTGTTGGTGTAGTGGGGGTAGTTGTTGGTGTAGTGGGGGTAGATGTCGGTGTAGTGGGGGTAGTTGTCGGTGTAGTTGGGGTAGTTGTTGGTGTAGTAGTGGTAGTTGTAGGCGTGGTAGTGGTAGTTGTAGGCGTGGTAGTGGTAGTTGTAGGCGTGGTAGTGGTAGTTGTAGGCGTGGTAGTGGTAGTTGTAGGCGTGGTAGTGGTAGTTGTAGGCGTGGTAGTGGTAGTTGTAGGCGTGGTAGTGGTAGTTGTAGGCGTGGTAGTGGTAGTTGTAGGCGTGGTAGTGGTAGTTGTAGGCGTGGTAGTGGTAGTTGTAGGCGTGGTAGTAGATGGTGGCGGTGGTTCGTTATCAAGATCTGGTTTTGGGTCGTCAGGATCAAAGTCTGTCGCACCGTCAGGCGTCGTTCCAAACGAAACCCAGGTTCCGTCACTTATTCCAACTAATACGAAAGTAATAAGCAATATCGTCCTCATCACCTGCAGTGTAAGATGATAATAGAGAGGAATGGACAATATAACATATCAATCGATCGATACATCGATAAAATCAACTTCTATGTGATAGCTATAACTGTCCATATAAAAACGATAAATTGGTTTGATATATTATTTTATTCATATTCAATTATTTTCATTATATTTATGTGATGTTTGTATGTTTTAAAGTTAAAAAAAAAAAAAGAAAAAAATTCAAATAAAGGCAGCCTTAAAATGCTCTGTTTTTAGTAAATGACATAAAATCATCCTCCATCTTATGACAACACAATCGGTTTGTTACTGTCTTAGCCAATGCACTATAGCCCTTGATATATCATTCTAATGACATATACGCCAAAAATATTAAATGGGCAAATTCACTGGATATCATATTTTAATGTATAGTATTTTATTACAAGATGTTTTGAGTGTGATAATCACTAACTTAATATGGGACTATTTTGAATTCACATTATTGTAGAAAGAAGTGTCCATTTTTTGAATGCCTTAAATGCTTAAACCATCTAATATATTTCTTCATTATACACTTGCCTAAGGAAACTTTAAAATAGCTTTGCTACATCTTTGAATGATTTTTATCTTGTCTAATGCCATATGCAGTATACTTTGACACATTCATTACGGAGTTGTAGTTTTTGTACACACAGCGTTTACTTAAGATTTTTTATACTATATTTAACGCTGAATTGCTGAATTGCATTATTTATATTCAGAACTAGTACATATCTAAAACAGTTTACATTATAAGTACAAACTATGGACAAAAATCACAAATAATAAAAAGATATATTAAAGTAACATTTTCTGTATGTAGATTTCTGCCTGTAGAGCCACTTACACGCTTTTCATAACTTGTTTTACACTGAAATTATTTTTCGCTTAAACGTTTTCTCTTTCGCGAAATATAATGCTACTCTCACAACAAAGTTCCGTCAAAACTTTTTTGTTGCATAATCGTAAAGTTGTAAAATTTACTTCATTAGAAATTTCTCAGAACCAAACAAATGTCCAAGGAATCGTGTATCGAAAATATTTACTTATTGAATATTCAGAAATCGCTAAGCAAACTTAATGATCACGAAACGAGAAACAATTCTTCTGATGATCCATATTTACGAAAGAATTGTGTAAAATAACAAAAATGAAACTAAACACGCCTTAACAATTTCATCAAAAGTAAAAAAAAAATTTTGAAAAGTCTGTTGTGAAACTTTAAATTGTAAGCAAGATGCTTTACTGTCGATCGATCGACTTTTCATCTCGTTCGACTTAAATGTTTTGTTAGTTAAAAATAATAATAGTTATAAGAATCCGATAGAATATGTCGATCAATTTTTGATTAATGATACCGCGGGAAACGTTATAAATTTTACAAGAATGATATAAATACATCATACATATTCAATTTATTTGTTTTTTATTGTGTTGAATATAATACCATTTTCAAACGGGTAAGTATGGTTTATTTGCAACAGAATTTTGAACATATGTCCAAAATATTTGCACATTAGTCTATTTATTCATTCTCATCTTTGACTCCGTTAGTAAGTCGTGCAAGTAATCGAAAACACCCTCGTAGGAATGTACTCACACAACTGCAACTATCGTTCTTTCTCTTGAAAATGTTTTCATAAGGAAAAAAACTCGTTACGTAATTATAAATAATGCATATTTATGTGAAAACGTCAGATACTCATAGTAACGGACTTTTCGTTCATTGGATGATATGGCGCCCTCAAACATTTTCCGAATGCTTTCCAATGTGTCCTAAGCCATTAGATACAGGAGTCGATACACGTTCATATTACTTGAATGAAACCATTGCTACAAATGTGCACCTATGATTGGTATGTCTTCCAGAATTAAAGAACATTAATGTCTAAAAATGACTATGCAAATGCAAATCGATTACAAAGGATCTTTCTGTCAACAACACGTGAAATAGTTACCTATTCACATAGGTTATAACGATACTACTTAAACATACTGGTCTCTTAACATTAGTAGTCACGGATGGTAGAGGTCAATACGATACTGATTGATGAAATGTTTATCTGTTAAGGATGCAAGATTTGCTATATAAACAGTCAAACTTACCTTAACATACATCACTCCCATAGAATGCTTCTTCATTCTTTTCTTCGGATATTTTATAACAACAATATGATATTGGTAGCAAAACAGCAGTCATTTGACATTCCTGACCAAGGTGGTTATAACATGCCCTATCAAAATGAACCAGACCTGATTTATAAGTTTAATCTAATGCTTAAAATATCTCAAAAACCTTTCAATGGTGGAATAACCTACGGATTCCTATAACAATTATAAAGATTTCTCTGTTTTTATCTAACCTTTGGCACTAGAGAAATCTACATAATGATGTTTGCCCGAAGCTCTTTGACTATTTTAGTAGCGTAAGTTATAAAAAGGCTATACCAATGTTTATAGATTGAAGTAGACAGTTAAAAACGTTTATTTTAAAACGTAATTAATATTGGTAAAACTTGGTTTTTAGCTGTGATGCATACTGGAAAGTGCTCATTAAGTAAAATGAGGACCTTAGATAGATAATAACACAATTTTACCTTTAAACACATATACCTGTTTTATGATATAAAAGATATCTGGTTACATAACTGATTTCACTTTGAGATTATTTTTTCAGGGGGATATTCAGATGCTTTGATAGTTAAATCGGCAATAAAATAGTTCCTGATGCTCTGGTAGAGAAATCCTATCGGCATTACGTATACTTGCATTCCATGAAGACAAATGTACCTAATTCTGTCAATCAAACCGGAGAGGAGGGGTAAACATTTTGCAATAAAGGAAAACGCGAGTTATATTGACATACTGGTGCCTGTAAAGCTAATTCTGTTCCCCGAATAGGAGGATATAGGTGTAACCTCAACCGTTACACTACGAATTAGTTATACAAATTTTACATTAAAGTAATATGAATTAATGAGTTACTTAATAAAATAGAACGATTAAGGAAATACAATATCAATTTGTGTAATTCTTCAAGTCATTAGTGTGAATATGATTATGGTAATTTGTATCTTATTTTCTGGTTTCACATGCTCTCAAAGTAAATATGTAATGACATTTTTCATAGGATATTACAAATTATTCAACGATTAAATCTTAAAGTTATCGTTTGTTAGGAACTGATCAATTAAATTCCAAATACCTCTCAACCTTAATCAAAATAACGCATGTATAAGTATCTTAGATCCAAGAAAATCAGCCATGTCATAAATGTAAGGGAAACGGATTTATCCTTCTACATTGTGAGGTTTAGGGTTACTTTTGAGAGATAGAAAAAAATGGAGTTTGGGAGATATATCATATTTGACATAACCCCCTTTTTTGCCTACATTAGCAATATCGAAAATCTTTGGATTATTTAGTAAGTAAAACAACTAGCTTATCTTTACCAAAGCAACGGATTAAGAATAAGAGAAGAAGAGAATATTAGATTAAAAACATCTTATAGATATACCATGCTGTAAGTAACATATCCAAGTCAAGCAAAGAGAAAGCCATACATCTACAAATGAGGTACAGTTAATTCTCAGTGAAAAAAACCTTTTTGGAATTTTGATTGAATGCTTATTTACGCCCTTGATGGAGCTGATGAAAAGTTCAATCAATACTTACTTTTATTTACTAATACCTTTGATAGATGAGAAAATGCATTTATCATGCAAATTAATAAAAGCATGATGGCAGTTGTATATATGTCTGGTAACAACTATTCAAAATATATTGATATTGCTCCTTATCATCACAAATTCATTACAAAATAATAACATATGTTTGAAAGAATATATATTTGTATCGGACTGATAAAGATGCACCACATAAAAGTCAATACCTCATGGAAAAGCACACGTGTCATTACCCCAAACCATACTTATTAGCATTCATAATTATTCATAAAGATACGATCTTCACAGTAAAGTTATTGATCGATGTTATTCTCACTTAAAAGGATATATGCTTAACCACTTGATGTGGACCTGCGAGGAGTTGGCGTTTGACCAACTGAGTTATTTTTGTTCAATTTTCTATTTAAACGTCATTGGTTACTTACAACGTTATATCACTTGGTCGTTTGAGGCATACTTTCAACATAATCCCATCTTCCGTTTTTTCCTCGCCCGCTGGGATCATTACTTCCGTCACATAAATGCAGGTATATTCTTTTCAGAATTCACTAGCGTTGTCTGATTTGTCGCAGGACTGTCAGCAGTACAGTTTGGTGTCTGGTGGACCTATCATCAGAACAGCTGTGGAAGCCTACCATGATGGTATGTGACTTAGATCATTTTATATCAATTTTCCTATCTTTAGCTTATGTTCCGTTTGCTTTCATTTCATATTGTGCAGTAACTTTTTATCGTAATTTCATATTGCTCTTCATGAAACAACATTTACAAATGGCATAGATTGCTTAGACGTTAGATAAACAATTTATTAAGACTTATCTCGCTACTTTCTAACTGATTTCTTTACTATCTTGAATTTTAGTTGAGTTTGGTTCTGCTAGTTGCCTTTGCAACTCTGACGATAGTGTCAACACATCCGGATACGTCTGACGATACATGTCCCTACGGCTGGTTTGTCCATGTCCATTCTTACAAAATTAACGAGATCGATTATGTGACTGAAAAGCAGCTGAATGGCGATTTTGCTCGATTTAAGTTAGTAATATTTTTTTCATGGATAACACGATACAACATGGTAACAAAAATCTCTTCGTACATATTGGATATATGTGATATAAAAACATCAAAGTTTTCTAAAGATCAAATAAAAAAACACATGAAATGATTTAGCTTATTGCTGTTGCAAGATTTGTTCCAGTGTCATGTTTTTATAACGTTGTTTCTGCAATACTTATTATTTTTTTGTAAGTGTTAAGAGTTTGAGGAAGACAAACCTTCAATACTTATAAGACCGGTTGCAGAAAACTTTTATATTAGTGAATTATTTCAGTTAAGAATAAGTATTTAATTGAAAAGGACCGTAAACATAGTTGATATTTCTTGCTTAAAAATGTATTTTGTTCTATATTTATATTATATATGTATTTTTCGACAGAATGGTGGCGGATATCGAGGCGTATAAATTCTTGTTCGTTCGAGGCCAACTATGGGCACTTGAAGACATTGAGCCTGCACCAAAGGAACCAATAACGTGAGGAAATCTATATTTTTTCATACACATGTATCATATTTCTAGTCGATCTTTTAATTATTTAAAATCTATATGTCAGAAAATGCAATTTTATTATGTACACAAATCATCATCGACGAAAGACTCGTTTTGAAATCTGTAACATTTTTATGCTCTACGAAGCCTTCATAGAGTATTTTATTTGTATTGTTAAACCAAGCCTTTTCACAAAGGATGGCTTTGATCGTCCTTTGTAAAAACATACACTTTGTATTTGCGTGTGTATGACACTCTAAAATCATCGGAAATATTATTTGCTGTAATTAAAGTAGAAAGTGACTGCTGGTTTTATTTTGCAATGCATCAATGTTATGCTGAATGAAGTGGTTTTAAATGTTTCAGACTGCGGAGCACATGTAAAACAAAATCTGAGTTACTTTATGGTTTTTGGGAAAGTTCAGCTACGTTTTGCTACATTGTCCTGCCAGGCCTTCAGAATGTCCGGAGAGCAAAATGTGACAAGTGAGTTATCCCATGCACTTAAAAGGATTTCAAGAATTATGTTCTGAAGCTAAGCACATACTTAAGGAATTTATGAGACAACATTTTATCTATATATCACATTATATTTACTACGTCCCTTTTCCAAATTTAACTTATCAATAGAAAATATCTTAAAATGAATAAAATTAGATAGCTAATCTTACCCGAAACATTAACTCTTAAATACAGAATGCAAGCTATTTTAAAATGGATGACTTTTCTTGTTAATTATACATTATGCATCAATAGCATAATTAAGTGTTGCCTAATATCTTAACATGTCAAATGACACTTATCAGCACCTTCAGATAAATAATACTTCCTATTACATTGAACGCGTGACTGCCTTTGCCATTGTTTTCCCATTTATACAATTGTGTTCTAAACTCTAATATAACTTATAGACCTTCGAAATATAATATGAATATTCATATCATTATCCTATTTCCGTTATATTTAATTTGATTGGCTTGAAAAGTAATTTTCATCGCAGGAAGTGTCTTGTGTTGAATTCAAAATGCATTAAACGCTATGATTTATGGATGAATAGATGACAATGTATAGAAACATAACACAATACACGTGTTTTCGTTGCATAAACCGTTAGCTTACCGGCATACAATAAGCATAATATATTTTCATCTTTACACTTTTTATAATTTTTTTCAAAACGTGAAACGCTAATATCGAATTTCTGTTTGGTACACTTCAGTGATGCTGCGTGCTGCGGTCCTACAACAGTCTGTTACGAAGATGGCTGGGCAAGATATCGTTATTGGGTTTATTGTGCGCACTTTACCAGTCCTTTCAACGGATATTTCTATCTCCGGTATGACACGTTTCCTCAGTGCTGTACATGCAGAAGATGTGACAAATGCTTATCTATGCATTAGGTTCTCAGGCTGTATTTGTCAGTCATTTTAAATGAAAATATTTGTATATTGTCCAAATTGTCCAGCTTTAAAACGTCGCAATAAAGTATTTTTAATGTGATATCAGGGTTTTGTTTTGAATCACGTGGATTAGATTGCTATATATCTATAGATATACTACATTTTATATAAGCAGAGATATATTCTTGAAGGTCAACATTACAAGGTAAACATTTCTTCCAAAATATACCAACAAAATAATATGAAAATCATCACATGCGATATAGGAAAATGTACCAGAATTAGAAGATAACCTTATTTTGGGCGTGCTCACTACTGTAATCTTACAGCAAAATCTCGAAAACAATAACCATCACATATGTGCTCTTAATCTCAAATCTTCGTGTACTATACATACCGTTCAGGTCATTATCAAAGTTGTTGGGTAAATGGAGCTCTCCAGTGAGGAGTTGTAGCTTGTATACATTCTATGACTGAGTTACCTTTATATGAAGTCATTCAAGCTTTTTGAATAATTGGAATCGACCTTTACACAGCTTTATTCCTTAGAGTATTCTGCTATATAGTATTGAATAGACGTAAAACGTCGTTTTGTTCCATGGTCTTCCCTACGATTGTATATGAATACCATGTATTTTGTTTTCTTGTTTGTGTTTTTTAAAGTATACTAATAATGGCGGAAGTAAATCACAGAGGACTTGTAATATTGTTGAGATTGCAAAAACTAGAAGCTGTGAAAGAAAGTTGGTTAAAAGTATTTGTAAAGTATATTAATAATCACATGTGTTTAGTGAATACGTGTTAGAATTGTCTAGTGTGAGTGCTGAAACCTGTGCAATATTGGTTTATTAGGATTTACATACACCGAGCATCCAAGCATCGTTAAGTATGGTTTGCAGAACCATTTACAGAAACATTCACGTTTTAGATAGGAATTTAATTATAGTTACAATAGATGTCCTTGCCACGCTACAGAACTGGACTTTAAACCTTATGACAATAAAAAACAGCACTTATTAGGGAGGTCTTACACTGTTAACCAGTCGATTGCTATTCTTTACACATCTTTAAACGCTGTAGATTCAGAAAACATATGAACTGTCTTTAGTTGGCATATTAAAGATCAGGAACAATACTTGTACACAATGCTAAAAGTTGTGCACAAGCTTCTATTTTTCAGTCGAATAATGAACTTTGAAAGAAGACATATCAGATACATACTCATATTGCACATTGTTAGTACACTATGGTTTCCAGAAAATATCCATATTCACGTATCATTGACTTAACTATAGTTGGAACTATGCAATATACAAAATCCGATATTCAGCATGATCTCCATACATTGTATCACGATTTCTATGGCAGATGTCGTAAGCAGATGTTGAAAACAGATGTTGAAAAAGAAAAAGAAAAGACCTTGACGTAAATTTTGTAGACAACAAACCGGATTTGTTCGATGCTGTAATGAATTAGTTATACTTTGAAAGGAGAATAATCTATGTTATCTAAGTAATATGTGGTTTTGAAAAATGACAAACGTGTAGAGAACAAATGCGATGTGTAAAATGTAACCAACATGTCTTCCTTATCATAATTCAAACTTTACTTCGATAAAATTTGAGCAAAATATAATCAAAGGAAATATCTATATATAGAAGCAAGAAAAAAGTACTGGAGAAACAAGACCAGAAGGGCCTTCTTGTAAGCATCGTCATCTATATCTAGCTTGTAGTCATCATCATCTATATCTAGCTTGTCATCATCATCAGTATCTAGCTTGTAGTCATCATCATCTGTATCTAGCTTGTAGTCATCATCATCAGTATCTAGCTTGTTGTCATCATCATCTGTATCTAGCTTAGTCATCATCTATATCTAGCTTGTAGTCACCATCATCTATATCTAGCTTGTAGTCATCATCATCTATATCTAGCTTGTAGTCATCACCATCTGTAACTAGCTTGTAGTCATCATTTGTATCTAGCTTGTAGTCATCATCATCTATATCTAGCTTGTAGTCATCATCATCAGTATCTAGCTTGTAGTCATCATCATTTGTATCTAGCTTGTAGTCTTCACCATCTATATCTAGCTTGTAGTCATCATCATCTGTATCTAGCTTGTAGTCATCATCATCAGTATCTAGCTTGTAGTCAACATCATCAGTATCTAGCTTGTAGTCATCATCATTTGTATCTAGCTTGTAGTCATCATCATTTGTATCTAGCTTGTAGTCTTCACCATCTATATCTAGCTTGTAGTCATCTATATCTAGCTTAGTCAGTCATCTATATCTAGCTTGTAGTCATCATCATCTATATCTAGCTTGTAGTCATCATCACTTGTAGTCATCACCATCTGTATCTAGCTTGTAGTCATCATCATCTGTATCTAGCTTGTAGTCATCATCATCTGTATCTAGCTTGTAGTCATCATCATCTGTATCTAGCTTGTAGTCATCATCATTTGTATCTAGCTTGTAGTCTTCACCATCTATATCTAGCTTGTAGTCATCATCATCTGTATCTAGCTTGTAGTCATCATCATCAGTATCTAGCTTGTAGTCAACATCATCAGTATCTAGCTTGTAGTCATCATCATTTGTATCTAGCTTGTAGTCATCATCATTTGTATCTAGCTTGTAGTCTTCACCATCTATATCTAGCTTGTAGTCATCATCTATATCTAGCTTGTAGTCATCACCATCTGTAACTAGCTTGTAGTCATCATCATCTGTATCTAGCTTGTATTCATCATCATTTGTATCTAGCTTGTAGTCATCATCTTTATCTAGCTTGTAGTCGTCATCATCTATATCTAGCTTGTAGTCATCATCATCTGTATCTAGCTTGTAGTCATCACAATCTGTAACTAGCTTGTTGTCATCATCATTTGTATCTAGCTTGTAGTCATCATCATCTGCATCAAGCCTTTAGTATTATCATCTGTATCTAGCGTGTAATCACCATCAATATATAGCTTGTCGTCATCATCTGTATCTAGCTTGTAGTCATCATCTATATCTAGCTTGTAGTCATCATCATCTGTATCTAGCTTGTAGTCATCATCTGTATCTAGCTTGTAGTCATCATCATCTGTATCTAGCTTGTAGTCATCATCTGTATCTAGCTTGTAGTCATCATCATTTGTATCTAGCTTGTAGTCATCATCATCAGTATCTAGCTTGTAGTCATCATCATCAGTATCTAGCTTGTAGTCATCATCATTTGTATCTAGCTTGTAGTCATCATCATCTGTATCTAGCTTGTAGTCATCATCATCTGTATCTAGCTTGTAGTCATCACCATCTGTAACTAGCTTGTAGTCATCATCATCCATATCTAGCTTGTAGTCATCATCATCTGTATCCAGCTTGTAGTCATCATCATCTGTATCTAGCTTGTAGTCATCATCTGTATCTAGCTTGTAGTCATCATCATCTATATCTAGCTTGTAGTCATCATCATCTGTATCTAGCTTGTAGTCATCACCATCTGTAACTAGCTTGTAGTCATCATCATCCATATCTAGCTTGTAGTCATCATCATCAGTATCTAGCTTGTAGTCATCATCTGTATCTAGCTTGTAGTCATCATCTGTATCTAGCTTGTAGTCATCATCATCTATATCTAGCTTGTAGTCATCATCATCTGTATCTAGCTTGTAGTCATCATCATCTGTATCTAGCTTGTAGTCATCATCATCAGTATCTAGCTTGTAGTCATCATCATTTGTATCTAGCTTGTAGTCATCATCATTTGTATCTAGCTTGTAGTCTTCACCATCTATATCTAGCTTGTAGTCATCATCATTTGTATCTAGCTTGTAGTCTTCATCATCTATATCTAGCATGTAGTCATCATGATCTGTATCTAGCTTGTAGTCATCATCATCTATATCTAGCTTGTTGTCATCATCTGTATCTAGCTTGTAGTCATCATCATTTGTATCTAGTTTGTAGTCATCAACATCTGTATCTAGCTTGTAGTCATCATCTGTATCTAGCTTGTAGTCATCATCATCTGTATCTAGCTTGTAGTCATCATCATCTGTATCTAGCTTGTAGTCATCATCTGTATCTAGCTTGTAGTCATCATCATCTAGCTTGTAGTCGTCATCATCTATATCTAGCTTGTAGTCATCATCATCTGTATCTAGCTTGTAGTCATCACAATCTGTAACTAGCTTGTTGTCATCATCATTTGTATCTAGCTTGTAGTCATCATCATCTGCATCAAGCCTTTAGTATTATCATCTGTATCTAGCGTGTAATCACCATCAATATATAGCTTGTCGTCATCATCTGTATCTAGCTTGTAGTCATCATCTATATCTAGCTTGTAGTCATCATCATCTGTATCTAGCTTGTAGTCATCATCTGTATCTAGCTTGTAGTCATCATCATCTGTATCTAGCTTGTAGTCATCATCTGTATCTAGCTTGTAGTCATCATCATCTGTATCTAGCTTGTAGTCATCATCATCAGTATCTAGCTTGTAGTCATCATCATCTGTATCTAGCTTGTAGTCATCATCATCAGTATCTAGCTTGTAGTCATCATCATCTATATCTAGCTTGTAGTCATCATCATCAGTATCTAGCTTGTATTCATCATCTGTATCTAGCTTGTAGTCATCATCATCTGTATCTAGCTTGTAGTCATCATCATCTGTATCTAGCTTGTAGTCATCATCATCTATATCTAGCTTGTAGTCATCATCATTTGTATCTAGCTTGTAGTCATCATCATCAGTATCTAGCTTGTAGTCATCATCATCTGTATCTAGCTTGTAGTCATCATCATCAGTATCTAGCTTGTAGTCAACATCATCAGTATCTAGCTTGTAGTCATCATCATTTGTATCTAGCTTGTAGTCATCATCATTTGTATCTAGCTTGTAGTCTTCACCATCTATATCTAGCTTAGTCATCATCTATATCTAGCTTGTAGTCATCATCATCTATATCTAGCTTGTAGTCATCATCATCTGTATCTAGCTTGTAGTCATCATCTATATCTAGCTTGTAGTCATCATCATCTGTATCAAGCCTTTAGTATTATCATCTGTATCTAGCGTGTAATCACCATCAGTATATAGCTTGTCGTCATCATCTGTATCTAGCTTGTAGTCATCATCTATATCTAGCTTGTAGTCATCATCATCTGTATCTAGCTTGTAGTCATCATCTATATCTAGCTTGTAGTCATCATCATCTGTATCTAGCTTGTAGTCATCATCTGTATCTAGCTTGTAGTCATCATCATCTGAATCTAGCTTGTAGTCATCATCATCAGTATCTAGCTTGTAGTCATCATCTGTATCTAGCTTGTAGTCATCATCATATGTATCTAGCTTGTAGTCATCATCTGTATCTAGCTTGTAGTCATCATCATCTGAATCTAGCTTGTAGTCATCATCTTTATCTAGCTTGTAGTCATCATCATCTATATCTAGCTTGTAGTCATCATCATCTGTATCTAGCTTGTAGTCATCACCATCTGTAACTAGCTTGTAGTCATCATCATTTGTATCTAGCTTGTAGTCATCGTCTATATCTAGCTTGTAGTCATCATCATCTGTATCAAGCCTTTAGTATTATCATCTGTATCTAGCGTGTAATCACCATCAGTATATAGCTTGTAGTCATCATCTGTATCTAGCTTGTAGTCATCATCTGTATCTAGCTTGTAGTCATCATCATCTGTATCTAGCCTGTAGTCATCATCTGTATCTAGCTTGTAGTCATCATCATCTGTATCTAGCTTGTAGTCATCATCTGTATCTAGCTTGTAGTCATCATCATCTATATCTAGCTTGTAGTCATCATCTTTATCTAGCTTGTAGTCATCATCATCTATATCTAGCTTGTAGTCATCATCATCTGTATCTAGCTTGTAGTCATCATCATCTGTATCTAGCTTGTAGTCATCACCATCAGTATATAGCTTGTAGTCATCATCTGTATCTAGCTTGTATTCATCATCTGTATCTAGCTTGTAGTCATCATCTGTATCTAGCTTGTAGTCATCATCTATATCTAGCTTGTTGTCATCACAATCTGTATCTAGCTTGTAGTCATCACAATCTGTATCTAGCTTGTAGTCATCATCTGTATCTAGCTTGTTGTCATCACAATCTGTATCTAGCTTGTAGTCATCATCTATATCTAGCTTGTTGTCATCACAATCTGTATCTAGCTTGTTGTCATCACAATCTGTATCTAGCTTGTAGTCATCATCTGTATCTAGCTTGTAGTCATCACAATCTGTATCTAGCTTGTAGTCATCATCATCTGTATCTAGCTTGTAGTCATCATCTGTATCTAGCTTGTATTCATCATCTGTATCTAGCTTGTAGTCATCATCTGTATCTAGCTTGTAGTCATCATCTGTATCTAGCTTGTAGTCATCATCATCTGTATCTAGCTTGTAGTCATCATCATTTGTATCTAGCTTGTAGTCATCATCATCTGTATCTAGCTTGTAGTCATCATCATTTGTATCTAGCTTGTAGTCATTATCATATATGTCTAGCGTGTAGCCATCATCATCTGTATCTAGCTTATAGTCATTATCTGTATCTAGCTTGTAGTCATCATCATCTGTATCTAGCTTGTAGTCATCATCATCTGTATCTAGCTTGTAGTCATCATCATCTGTATCTAGCTTGTAGTCATCATCATTTGTATCTAGCTTGTTGTCATCATCATCTATATCTAGCTTGTAGTCATCATCATCTGTATTTAGCTTGTTGTCATCATCATCTATATCTAGCTTGTAGTCTCCACTTTCTGTATTTATTTCAAGTTGTTACCATGTCCAAACATATCTGAGTAAGGTGTCGAACTAAATAGTACAGAGATGATAACCTACCTGGGGCTATCACAACATATCGGAAAATCTTACATAGTAGTTAACATGTATGATAGATCAGTAATCGAAATATATTTCCATAGACTATTTCCTGAATGAATAATCGAAATCAATTATGCGACATACAAGACGGTAAGTTCAACGTTTAATCGTTTGTCTTAAGCCATCGGACAACTTGTCACACTACTCCATGTCTTTCGTCTGAACATGTATAAGGAAACCGAGGTATGAATTAAGATTATGATGCTGTATATGTTTCGCAAATTGGCCTTCTAATGGACAGTGAGATAATATACACTACATCTATAAAGTAAACAAAAAATTTTTTTTTTATTTTATTTTCTTATTTAGAGACTTAATTGGTTGCTGAGTTCCCTGGTACATTTTTATTAAAATAACTCCACTAAAAAAATGTTCCACACAAGGGTAACTCTCTTTTGTAGAAAAAAGGACGAAGTCATTTCGATGCGTACTGATACAAATGAAGTTAATGAATGCAACAACTGAGGCAGAATATCTAGATTGGTCATTATCTTTAGAAGATAAACATCATAAAAAAATAGTTTTCTTTTCTTGGTCTCTCAGATATTTAAAAAAACTATTGAAAGAGATAATATTTTTCTAACAGCAACCTAGGGACTGGTAGCCAGTCTGTGGTAGATAAAGCGTTGGTATTTTAGTTACCTGTTCGATATATATGCGACGGTCTAAATAAATCTCTTTACCCTCTGTACATAAATATATTAATATACTATCACACTTTTGTCATATCTATGATTTCTTTTCTCTCCTTGGACTGTCTGTATTAAACAATACAAATTCGGACTCGCTTAATCAAACCGTGTTTGTACTAATATACGATTGGTGACATTGAACACAATTCCCCTGTGTTTTGATATCCAATCTCGAGTAAAATAATATTGATGATTTTAAGAACAAGATATAGAATTATTCTGAAATCCTTAAATCTTTCATCCCAAGGTCAAGAATTGTAAGGTAGAAACCTCAAATTGATAAGGAAACATGGCGTAACTAGCGGATGGTACTAACATATGTATGTATGTATGTATGCATGTATGTATGTTTGTATGCATGTATGTATGTATGTATGTATGTATGTATTATGTATGTATGTATGTATGTATGTATGTATGTATGTATGTATGTATGTATGTATGTATGTATGTATGTATGTATGTATGTATATTATAGAATCATACAATATATTATATGACAATATGATAACTGTAAATACATAGAATAAAAAATGAAACAGTTTGGGTTTCTTGTGATAATTTTATTTACAATAAACGTATAATGCCAAATGAAGGTTTGTCCAGCTTTAAAACATGATAATATGCGGATTCAAAATCGGTATGTCTCGCCATTTGCCGTGGCCGAACGCATTGTCTTATCGTGACTAAAACACAGAGGTTAATCGTCTTATTCAGTATGTTTCATACGTAAGCACCGTACGACTTAATTATTGTATAATTATTTTGTTGCGTGAGATGAATAAAAAAAACAAAATACACGATTGCGATGCCTAGAACATATTTGTACCAAGCCTGTATCATAAAAAAGAATTTTCAGTACATAATAACGTTTTGCTTAAAATACAATCTGACATCTGGAGCTTTAATCAATATTTTTTTTGTATACTTATCTAAATATCGTTTTTATATGGCTGAAAAAGGCCCCATATCCAAAGCCTGCATTTGTTATCAACATATCGAAACACTTCTTACTACACTTTTCAAAGAACAATAGCCAAAGCATTATAGAACACGACAAGGCACGCCCAAGGAGGCCTTACAATTTACAAATGTTAGCTTTGCATTCACAACATGACGGCAGTGTTGTGTATTTAAGGGCAAAGTACCCGTCATAGGGATCTCCATACAGGTCAGCACAAAATACGATAAACTTTTGGACAGTATGGCCACCAGGCTTGCAAATATTCGTTGGGGGCAATACGTGTGTTGGGTCGGTTTGGTTGAATTCCCTGCAGCAGTATTCACTAAAAAAACAATAACAAGAATAGGAAAAAACCTTTTAGCAAATACTTTTAGTACATCATACAAATTACAGCTATATATAATATACACTTGTTCCTTTTGAACCCTCCACCCAAAGTGGCTACCAATGGGTTATTATACCTGGTAAATATAATACAAGTGTCTGAAAGGGTTAATTTTAAGACCATGCCCCAATTTTTCTTGGTACCCCTTAAAATACACCTTTTTAGATACTTATAATAGCCTACTGGCATTCATTTTGGGTGGGGGGTTCAAAAGGAACTCTTTCCCTGTAAATATCATGGAGTATCGTTTATGACAAGACGTGTTTTTACTTGAAGCATATTACAGCGGTTCATAGCAAACATATTTCTATTTGTTAAAAGTCAGGGAAAAATAACACTAACCTAGTGCATTCTGCACAAAGCACATTTTGTCTTCCGGCCCACACTATCCAGCAGAGCTCGCCGTAGTCACGCCAATATCCGAGCAATCGTCTAGTTTGTGTCTGACACTCACGTCGTGTGCTGTAAAGGAATGATATGTCCATAAGAACTTCTAATAGGAGATTATCAATTCTGTCTCTATATCCTTAGTGTCCAATTTAAAAAAAATAGATCATAGTGACTGATGTTATATAATTTCATTAAAATAATTATCTTTCCACACACCATTTTGTTTTCTAGTCCGCCGATAACTGTTAATGATGAAATGGAGCTAAAGCTTTGAGATAACGTTTCTATCAATTACTTAAAAAAAAAAAAAGGGGGGGGGGGAGGGGGGGATTTGCAAATGAAATACATACGAATCTTGATCTGGAAGCACTGGTGGTAGAGGAATCTGCTTCAGTTCGACCTTCAGAAAGTAATAGTCGTCTACGTAGTACAGTAGGTAGTGCATTACATCTCTAAAAGGGATATGGAAACAAAGGTAGGGTTGATGTCAATAGATACATTTGATATGGAAACATAATGTATCGGAAGTTCCAATACATGCCTGTTTCCATTAGGACAACACAACAATACATTCAACCACACTTTTTAGAGTCATTTTGTCCTTCTTAGATGATTCTTTTCTGTATTATAACACATAAACAGTTAATTATGAATCGTTGATGAAATTTCAAATTAATATTGATACGTCTAAACCTAAAAATACCCTTTTTGAACATAACATGCAACACAAAGCAAGTTTAAAACATTGAAATACAATTCAAATAACTTTTTGAACCCGACAAAAAATATGAACACAACAGAAATTATTTAAAAGCTAGACGTAATATTTATCTGAGTATTGAGTTATTTTGTCTAGATATAGGTATATATCTTACATAAAATATAAAAAGCTAGAAGTTCTTGGTATTTTTGTTATGAAATCGCGACAGTTCATCGGTGTTGTATCGATAGGCAGGTGTTCGCAGTTGTGAGGGGAAGGAGGTATGAAGCCATAGCCTTGACCAGCCGGTCCATCTCCACTTGATTGATCGTAGCCGTATAGAATCACGTGCTCGTTAATATAGTCAATAGCCAAAGCACCGTAACAGAACACCAGCAATATAGTCAGGGCCTTAAACAAATCAAAATGTTAACACATTTATATGTGGTCATTGATAACGCCTCAACAACAGACAAATTTGGATTTTTCTCAGGTGCCTCCAAAGATTCAAAATTTAGCTTTGAAGCATCATCGACGAGTCCTAGAATAATTAAACAATTTTTTACTTTGCTGTATCTACCTTTCAATTTGCTAGCTCAAAACCAATAGATATGACATATCGAATATCTAAATGACATTTGCCCTTCCGAATCAGCGATCTCTTCTGGCGCTAACTAGTTCACACACGAGGTATGTGACAACCGTTGATTGTCAAAGACTTTTTAATTGATCGGGTTAATGGAATAATCATTTGCATTAAGACTTACATCAACTATTCCAACCCGACTCTCTGATACATACATTAAGCCTTTCTTATAACCTTCATCCCTGTGCATATTAAACAAAATGCAATTAATGACAAAACTAAGTAAATAAATAATTAATTCAAAATTAAGTACATCAGCTGTCCTTTAGCTAAACATTTGAGTACATGTATATTACCATTAAACAACATTTTAGGACATATACAAGGAGTCGACAAAATCCCAAAGAGAACACAAACATAGTAGCAAAAACATTCAAACTCATAATAAATGAGACCATATGATAGATACAAGTAACATACTTCTTCATTCACAATGTTGTGTTTCAGAAGAGTGAACAAAGTATGCTTTATCGACGGTAACCGTCGTGTGAATAAAGGTGAAATGAATTTGCGGGAGGTTTATACAATAAAGTAGTTATACAAATCCGATTTATCGTTTGTGATAAAGAGCCGCAGTGATGTTCATTAAGTCACGAAAATATTTAGATATTTTTTAACAGTTGATCTTAAACGTGCCTGAATACAGATTTTGATTTTTGCAATTAATTCAATGTTTCATGAACAAGACAATGTTTATCCTTATGACTAATTACTGATGTAAGACAATGATGCTGAAGCACTGTAGCTTTAATCTTATAATGAATCATGTAACATATGCAATGGAGACTATAGAGTTTCATGTACAGAAAACAAATACTTACGACCGGTAGGGTATCCATCGTTCAGCGACAGTATGGATTCGCCTACTAAGAGTAAAATTCAACGCCCTTCTTATTTAAACCAAGTCCCCTGCGGTTCCTTCACTAGACTAAAATTGTCGTCGCCTTTAGCATTTTGTGTTATTTACACGTTTTGCTACCTGGTTATTTTTACATATTTTTAGACAATTCATTTACACATGTCCGCAAGCACAAATTTGCGTCAGCGCAAAAATAAATTTCGCCAGAAACTGTCATCGAATCAAGTGTTTCTTTGTGTTTTAGCTTTAGGTGAGATGTATACTCTTGGCATTGGTGTTTTTGTTCCATTAACGAAAGTGGTCGAATTCGAATATGACTAACGCAAGAGATAACGTTTGTATATGACCATTCAGCTCTGTGTTGAATTCATTGATATTTGCTATTTCTACACTATATAAGCATGCAGCTTGTTGGATGTTGGAGAATGTCATATAAACATCTTATTAAAAATGTTACTATTTGAAGCGGTATTCATGTTGCTAGGTATAGAGTGACTAATGCGATCGCCTGGCGTCCGGCGTGTGTTTTCTTTCATCTATCGTATGTCCGTAAACAAATAACATTATCTATTTCTTCTCCTGGAAAACCTCCCGAACCAACTTATGAAAGTTTAAAGAAACTTTCCATGGCCAAAAACATGGAAAGGTTAAAGATGCCGTACCAAATCTGTAAATTTGATTACCGTATGATCTGCCCCTCTTTCCATCAATAGATTGAGTATATTTTACAATGAATTATGCATATAGGAAATCTACATTTCAAGGGCACTTAGGTCCATTTCTTTTTGGGGGGAACTGTCAATGTTGTCTGAATCGTTTTAAAAGTATCGCGTGGTAGTTTGATGTTAGGGATCATAATGATCCTGGGTGATCCCTAGACAATTAATCTAAATACATGTCGTTTTAGACCAATTTATTATAGAAGTAAATGGAATTCACTGATGGAAAAGGTCTTCAAGTGTTTTTAACTTTCCAAGTCGGAGATCGTATGACTGCAGAATTTTGCAATTTATTTTTTGCAGGTGGTAAATTGTACCAGTCAATGATTTCTTCCGCAGGTAAAAAACACTTCAGAATTTATGTTCTTTTTTCACTATCCAACCTTGATATGGAATATCAGTATGGGAAGATATCAGAATGTCCATTATACCTGACTGATGCTCAGGGACTCGAGATGTGGCGTCAAGATGAATCACATAAGCTAAAACGTCAAAGTTTATCAAATATTTTATTTCCTTATCTTTACTCTACAGTTGGAAGGAAAGTGGTAATACTTTTTGACAAGTTCTAGCTGAATGATAAACTAATTACATCCATTTCAAACTCAAACCGTGGCCTGTTTGGTAAAGACCCTTAACTCACCTTGTTGACGATATGATTTCTATGAAATATCGCAACGGCAAATGCGACAGTTTTGTAAAACTCAGGTAATAGTAAACCATCTGTCCTCATGTTTGTTATACATATCGATGAAATGGGGTAAAACTATTATCAGGGAGATAGTATATTCCTGTTAGGTGTCTCAACAAAGTACAAGGAAGACTGTACAGAGTCTCTGAAGAATGGGTTTGGAATTCGGTGATGGCAAGACAAATGTGATAACAACCACTGACGATCCTTTAGCTTACTTGTATGTAGTTGCAATCCGTTATCACCAATTCTGCATTTCATAGTTCGTTAATAAAGTGTTTTGGTCTTAACATCATTGACAAGTCAAAAAAGGACACTGTATGCTACGATTTTTTTTAAAAATTTTGTTTGCTAATATTTTAGTTAATTAAATTTCTATTGGAAAGTGCTATGGTCATGTATAGGTTGAATCCGTAGGTACGCTTGATCCACGAAATGTTGTGTTCACAAAATACAAAACAAACAGAAATAATGCTCAGGCATTGAAAGACTAATGTTCAAAATCAAATGTTAATGAAAAAGCACATTCCCAATATCACGACTGTCATGCAAAAATATCGACATCTGATGATTAAACCTAAAACCGAGACTGCCGAGGCTGTAGTTTGATTAAAATCAAGGGGACTTATTATGGTCGTTATCATGATTTCATAGGGAAATATGATGTTTCCTTTTGCGATGTGGAGTCTGATGCTCCGTTGTTGTGACCTTGTGCCTATTGAGAACGTGATATTATTTACTTAGATTGACCAGGATTTACATAACCATTGTCATCGCTGAAGCAGGAGGCGCTTAACGATCGATCTTAAAATACATGCTCATTTTCTCCTTTTTTATTTTTCAGGAGTCTTTGTATATATCTGTTTTCTGATCATATTTTGCCTCGATTTATTCACTTAAGTTTTTTTTGTTATGATTTTGTTGACATGTTGGCATTTTCGTATTTGTTTTTACTTAAGTTGACCACGATCTAAATGGCGAGAACCGTAGATGAAACAGAAGCTGCTGACCCTTTCAGCTGGTTCTATTTTCCTTGGCATTTCCAGGGATCTTCGAGTAAATTTTACTCTCGTTCATATTTTGTCTTAGAATTTGGTTTGTTGTAAATGTGGCGCATCATTGTATTTAATAGCATATGTCTGTAGATTAAATGATATTTCAGAAATAAAATGGAAAGCGATGTATGGTAGTATTTCTGTGTGGAATTCCTTTCTTTACGTTCTTTGTTGAGTCTGTTGGCAACAGCAAGGAGTCATCACAAAACAAAAATTATCAGGAAGATGTTTGTTCAATTGAACGCTATTCCAACCCGGTATGAGAAAACTATTTTACTTTATGTTTAATGTAAATATGTGGTGAATTGGTTGCTTTTAACGTTCACTGATGCGTTACAGCATGTTCATTGACTTAACCGACACACCAACTCAACATAGTGAAAATTCAGATGTATTTTATACACTAACGAAGATGAAAATTCGGACAGCCAACCCATAACGAATGTTAAACAATTTCATTCTGTTCTAAAACTACTAGATTGTACGCATTAATATCCATCCTAATTACAAGTCCGGAGTTGCTGTTTTTATTTGATGCTCTGGTTTTTAATACATTCCTGAGGTGAGATTCAGTTATTTTCTATCTTTAATTTTCACATTCTTATAGCATTATTTTAAATATAAGAAGCAAATTTGTCACTACAAGCTTATTGTTATTTATCAACATTTGTCTTCAAGAAGCCTGATAGACATTCTGTAAAGTAGGTTTTTTGACATCGTGTAATGCATGTAGATTGGACGAGTATGAGGGGAATTTGTGGTCACCTTGTTGAGGTCAGCTGTTTAACCTTTCGGGTCACCGAGTCTTATTTTTCATGCCTTTGTCTGATATACCTTTATGGAGTTTAAATCAAGATTTCGTGAGATTTCTCCGTAATCCATTATTCAACGTGTATAATAATAAAAACTTGTTCATGTCTGCTTTGTTTCTATTTTTTTTTTTTTTTTTTTGTTTTTTTTTGTTTTTTTGTTATTTTTTTCGATGCAATTACGTGTCTGTTTTGTTAATAGTAAAGGTAGCGAAGTTGACCTTGTCACTCCAAACTTACATAACACGACAAAGTGAATATTGAGTATATATCGTACACATGTAACCCAGATGTTTCAATTCAGTTCATTAGAAAAAAACTAAAAACAAATGATAAATTTCGCTCTATGTTACTTTATATCATCACATTGTATCGACATTAACCAGCTTATACAATGTACAATGTTATGATCATCATATCCAAACGAATTTCATTCAATCAGTATTAACAGCTTCACAACGAATGAAACACAATACAAAGAAAATAACAACAAAACTAAACACGTAAAGAAACCATTTTGCATACCATCAATTCCTCCTTAACACTTAACATATAACGTAGCTATTTAGTCATTGTGATGATACAAGATCTGATCACATTGTATAAATGTCATCCATATATTTCTACATCTAAATTTATTATCAACATGCATATAAAATGATCTCTACATCACTTAACATAAATTTTGCTTGACAACTCCAGACGTACCTTTATCATGTTTTTAAATTCAATGTTTTGAAAATAAACCATACGCACATTAAAACTTAGCACAGCTACCACACATGTGCATATCTATTCGTTGATGAGCATGGAAATATATCATAAATATAGGCTATATAGTATTTACAAGATATATTTACATATTTCGAATATCTCAAAAGACTTCGAAATAACATGTACAATACAAGGTCTTGTGATAACAGATAGATAAAGCGGTTCTTTATAACGTTTTCTTATTAATTTTTTATTTTCCGTTTTATTTTTTGTTAAAAAGGGGAGAAAAATGTATAATCATATTTATAAGCGGAAACGTGAACCAATGGGTCTTTCTGTGAAATGAATGCAAATATCAAATGCACATCGATGTATGCTACTGATATTCGCTTTAGTAACGATGAATACCTGGTCGTACATTCAACGCTATATCTTATTTAGTTATCACGGTTAGACACACGTACACGCATAACAAAACAAATCTAATTATAACGTTTGCTTGTCATGATATATAAAGTTTACTTAACTTCTAAAAATCAGATGGACAGTATTACAAACTGATAGTTAATGATACGGGTATGTTACATAAAACACGACCTCCATTTTTTGAGAAATAAGATACATACTTAAACCATAGCTTTTCGGGTCAAATGTTTTCGGCTATAGCGTTAGAAGGCAGAACATGTCTGTATGCTATTTTCATTAAAGAAAAAGACAGTTGTGTAGTAACCACAGTAATAATGTTAAATAAAAAATGATATGATTATCTTTTAAAAACTAAAATCTGCTTAAAAGTTATTATTTTATTTGTTTGCAAAGAGGCAATAGTTCTTGATCATTATATCCATATGGGCAGAAAAAGTACAAAACAGAAATTTCACCAAGACTATTTTGGATGGTGATGAGATTCAATATAGCTTCACTTGTCCCTGGCTATGCATTATTCTCGCTCTCCCTTCATCCATTATTCAGTGTAATGTTCTTGCGAAACCACTTGCCGACACTCACATACTTTCTTTTTATTCATTTTACATACTTTGCTCTCAGAATTAATGGAACTAATTCATTCTAACACAGAACGTGCCTATAACTTAACAACAGTGAATATATACATTGACATAATACTTACAATTACAATAACAGTACACCTTTACAAGATTGATCCACTAAGGACGCTTATATTGTATAACAATTAAGGCAGATCACATTGTCTGGGTATAAACATTATTTATGTCAATAAATTGCACTATTCCACGACAATTACATCATTTCTTACGTAGGCAATCATGACGTTATGTTGACTTTCAAAAATAATATAAAACACGTTTCTATATTTACATTTAACATCCACCGAACTAAACTGTTCAACTAAAAAGGGTTATAATATTTACAGAAATGTAAAACATTTTATATTCTACAGTTATACCAAAATGTGCATTCCCAAAATGAGACTTGGTTTTCTTTTACTATTAACGCTTATACGTATGGAAGACGTCATAAGTAATTATATGATATATTATATATATTTATATACTTTCATTTTACATCTAATATCTCTAGAATAATATCTACTGTCTGTTACTTAATTAATACAATAGCGTTATGTAGACATAAAACACAGGTTGTACATCTGGTATAGCTTGTCTTCATACATAACCTGGTATTACCCGCCCGTATAACATATATAAATTATATCATCTGTATATATGACATCACAAATCATGATTTCACTCGTGTATATTGTATATCGTACATCTTTTCTTTATAGGTGATAAACAATTTTTCTTCTATCTACAGATAATAAATAACGTCCAGTGTCTGATTTTATACAAAATATGAATGATGATATACAATCGAAATGCTTCAAAGACGTTTATGCTGAATTCAGTAGACCACCGACAGAAGAGAATAAAAAAAACAACAATTGAAATTACTCAATCTAAATAGGAAATGAACAGTCAGTCCTATATATTTACAGGTATACGGCCTATAGATTTTATCACATTTCTTGTATTTTTCTCTTGGAGAGCAGAATGGCCATTAGTGGCAAGATCTTGTGAAACAGGAACAACTCGTCATTGGGTTTTCAGAATTGCCTTTGTCTTGGGAAAGGTTTGTTTATGGAAAATTCCATTCATAGCAATTGTACGATAGATACAATTGTTTGTATAATATCTAGCAAAATTCTTCAGCAATATCACTATTGACTTTTACCCAAACGTACTATAAGAAGGTAAAAAATATTTGATTTTCCTTTGTTTTCATTACAAATTGTATTGCTATTCTTTAGATAGCAAATGTCCAACAACATTTTCGTGTTGTGAATACTACACGACGTCAGACTATTGTCTTAGTTAAATAAGAAAAGAAAAAAGGGTGTTGATTGCATTATCGAAATCGAAATTTTCATGGAGATAAGAAACATTAGAAATTGTTATCAACAAAACTCGTGCAATCGGGTTCATATTGCATTGAATTTTTTCAAATTTATCAACAGTGTGTAAAGTATAAAATTGATATCAAATTCAATATGAATTGATTGGGATTTTCTATATTTTTATATATCTCTCTGATGATTTACAAATACATCTCACGTCTTCCATATCATACGATGATATGTTGCATTATCATTATCAAAGCAGTTTATACATTTGATCAAGGTATATAGCGATCTCTCTTCTTCTTCAAAACCCCACTGGCAACTTTAAGTGATTATTTATACAGTTACTGACATTTACATACCCATAAATGATAAAAAAAATATTGTCCCTAGTTCATACTTATCCATGTATGTAAAATTGTCGCTAAATCATGAACAAATGAAAAATTAGATAAGAAATTTGTTTCCTAATAAATATACAGTACGTATTGGGATATTGTTATTGCAAATATTTTATATTAGCGATACAAGGGACTTTTTATTTTCGTAGAGTGATTGATAAGAAGGTACAGTAAGATTTTCTTTATATACTATAAAATGCCATTGCTTATTGATAAAATATGATTATAATGATAGTTCTACACCTGTGAAAACCATGTCCATAAGTTTCTATTTATATTTTGGACAAGGAAGTTAGTTTTGTATTCTAAACTACATAGATTGTCTGTGATAGGACTCTCAAATCTCATAGCCACGCCTTTATATAGGACGATAGGTTCCAAAATTTTACAAGCTTACCTTATGTGTGAGTATGACACGTATTAAACTATATTGCACGGTATCTTGTCATAAGTACATGTGAAGCAATATACCACAGATAACTTGTTCAATAAGTAATACAGAAAATGTCTTTTGAATTGAGATCGCCCCACTGAATGGGCTTTGCTTTTTATTTTCCAGTCCGGCGACTGAAATGATGGTTTCGTCAATATTATTATTTTGTGGTACGCTATATTCTTCTCGTTTCTCGTCGCCGTACATGGTTGTCGCCTCCACATCAGATACATTCTGATTTTCTCGTTCACGGTTAATTTGCGCCTCCCTTTCTGTAGGTATACATCTGCGTGACTTTCGATCTGAAGTAATTTATTAATACGTTTTATTCTAAACTTCATTGAGCAGTTCTTGTCTTTTTTACCAAATAAAGCATAATCATGTTAAATATTATTATCAAGGAATTACAGTTTCATTTCCTTAAAACATATTTTAAACGCATATATGTAAAATATATATGTAAGTTACACCTCACAATCAACGTATCCACTCAAATCAATGCATTCCACTTTTATAATTATTATTATCATAAGATTATTTTTCGATTTTCTTTGTGCTTGAAATTGTTATCTTAAATTTAGGACACGATATACAATGTACATAAAGGATATTAAATTTCTAATTTTTTAGCATTGTACTAAGATAATATATATCAAAGAGTAGCAGCTGAATACACAGCCATGTGTTTTGATTAATCTTGAAATCCATATAGAATGTATTGATTTGTATTTTGTGATATTTCTTTTAAATTTTTTTTATAAATAAGTACCAACCATCAATTAATTGAAGAGTGGCTTTTGGTTGTCTGTCTACATGGACATAGACGTTAGAAAAGGAGGAACATTGGGGAGTTGGCATCTGGTATACCACACGGTAAGGAAATGAAAACCCCGGTCCCGCATACTGCGAAATAACCTGAGAAATAAACATTAGTTAATATAGTCAAATAATGCATTATGATTTGCATACAATTCTTAATCGATAACATCAAAATGGATGAAATCAACGTAGCTTTTATAGACATATATCATTCACTCATTGTCTTGCAAGAATTCAGTTGTTTTCTGGAGTTATTGCCCCGTGAACAGCCAGTATCAGTCGGTCGCATTGAAGTAGCAGAAAATAACATACAAAAAGTCCTTCCCATGCCTTCCAGAGATACTCGGGTAAACGAATTGCTCAATGATATAAACACCTTACCACCGACCATTCCGTTCCCAGCTTCTTTGAAAAATACAAACCGCCTTAGAAACGGAACGTCGTACTACACATATCGGATTTTTACGAGAGGTTATGATGGTCAACGTTCTAAACGACTAAGCTATAATTACCCGTTAGCATAACTTACCCAACAATTAAACTCATTTCGCCCATCCATTGACCGAGTAATCAGCAGGTGGTCAAAAAGTCCTACTTGATCCTTAAGAAACAGAAGGCACTGGTACTCTAAGTAATAAATGAACGAATATTACCCATTTTACTCAGGAATTTTCATTTAACGTAAAATTATAAGATTCTTAGTCTTCTTTGTTATTCTTGTAAAACTTAATATTGGATGGAATATAACGAAACAGCTGATGTAGTTTAAATCACTATCTGATTCTACTGTATCTTACTCTAAATTTGTATTGAAAGTTACTGTGCATATGTGTCATTCATAAAATCTTTAAGGAATAATTTGTTGGTAGTTTAAGTGGAAGGCTGACTGAGCCGATGTAAGTGACGAGTGACACCTCTTGCCTTCTATCATTTACATTGAAAATGGAGCTGATATTAAATATTTAGTGACGTGCAATAAAGACCTACATCTAAATGTTAACAATTTTGTCTCTAAATTGATTTTGCCGGAAGTATTTACTTTTAAAAATGTTAGTTTTTTCTTCCAAAAATGTAAGATGTGAGAGTGTAAAATGCATTATCATTACTAAGTCCGTGTCTATACAAAGCCTTTTAGAAAAGAGAAAAAAAACCATGCAAATGGCGATATTGGAAGCACTTTTGACTGTCTATCGGTCTGTCGTTTTTTTAGCAATGTGTAAAAGCAAATTTAGCCTTTCCTTTTGTTTGAAACCAAATTGTTCAAGAAAGCGATTATATGAAAACATATTATCTTAATTATTCAACTCCCGCAGGTATTTATTTCTTAAGAAAGCATACAACACCAAAATAGAAATAGAAAAAAACTACAATTACGTACACATAAATAACAATTTTGTAAGTTAGATGGATTCAGGTGCGCCTGTAGGATAATACATATGACTTCCATCTATTAACACATTTTTTGTAATCTGAACGTGCATCTCATTACAATTTGTCTCTAAGCTTAATAAGCATATGAATATACCTCTGTTCTGTAAATGGGTTCGAAAATAACTGTGAGTCAGCAAATGTAAATCACTTTACATTTAGATCTAAGTAAACGAGAAGAACAAAGAAAGTGACCACCTCAAGACTGGATGTCTAATTTGTACGACTTACGTTTTCGTTTCGAGGCTAATAATGGCAAGCAATTATCTGCACTAACTCTAAGCGTGCCTCTCGGAACACATCCCTGGTCGTCCCAATCAGAAATGTTTCCAATGCATTCTTCGTCGTTAAAAGTGCCGTTAAAAGGAATAGAGCTTCTGAGTCCACAAAACTGGTCCCACAGGCGGCCATTTACTGAAATAAAAAAAGACTTAGTCGATGCATATGTAAGAAGCAAGGGTTGCGTACAAGATCAAATTCAGACAATCTCAAAAACAAAATATATTTTGTAATTTGTATTGGAAAATGAATATTTTGGAATGTAGTATTCTATGTCAATACAGTAGAAATGGCATTCGAGATTTAAGACAGTCCGTGTATGTGATTTCCTTACGTGTATATGTGAAACTCTCACATGTTATATATCACACTAATCGTTTATTTTTATTGTTTAAAATCGATCGAACATAAACTTTAGATATATTGACCATTTGTATGATTCAATGAACATGATAATTAGCCTTATAAGGAGAAAAAGACGTCCCACGTGCTACACTTAATATCACGTTAAAACATTATGAGTTTTCAAATGATGATGTCTGAATTAATTTGACAGGACCTAAATGTAAACAATAGTATGTTCGTATGACAAAACAATGTCCATAATTATTTTGGAAACCAAAACAAAAATAGATAAATAAATAAATAAATAAAACACGAATCACAGTTCGATATCCTAAAACTCTCGGTATGTCGAGCCAAACATATAGATGTATAGATATGAAGACTCTTAATGATACTTTTTGTTAATAATTAATATCCTGATATACCTTTGCTTACTCAATAAACTTTATTACGGTAGAAAACCAATTGTCAAATCAACGAGGATATTTTTTCTTTTCATTTTTTTACAAGTTAAAATACAAAGGTCAATGTTCGCAGAAGTTACCGCATGATAAAATAAATAAAAAAAAAAACTTTATAATGACTTAATGATTTGAAAGACAATAATTGTGAGATGTCAAGAAATTGATATATCAGACTAGCATGTACAAGATCAGTGATGCTGTGTACATGACAAACTGAGTATTAACAGGACAATTTATATCTTCCGTTGATACTTACATATAAGATTCTTCATTCCCGAACTCCTGTACGTGTCTATTAGAGGATATGGATCGTCGTGAAATTGGCATAATTCAGTGAATTCTTCGTCATGTCGAAGACTGTGACCTGAAAGGTTGAAAGTGTAATCAAGACTTATACTACAAAGATTACAAAGATTATACAACAAAACGTGTTTATTATACCGTTCATTAAAATTATCTTCTGGTCAATGTTTTGTAATTTCACATCATGTCATTAGTAACGATACAGGTAAGTAAAATTTGAATTTTCCTCATAGGTTCTCACAAGTGTTAATCAAATATAAACGTTTCAAAATCCTTATTGGTAGAAATATAGTTAAATCGGACAACAGTCTTAGTATTAAATCAAATAAATTAGAAAATGCCTTAAAGCATGTCGTAGCTTTTGAACTTTGCTCTTCAAACATCGGTTACACACTTCACATTATTTTAATATGCCTAACGAACCAGTTCCAAACAATATCTCAATCAATGACGCTAGTGAATACTCTAGTACTCTTATAATAATAAATATAGCCAGCAATATCTACAAATGTTGGAGTCTTCATGAAAAGAGATGTATTCTCAAGTTCCAAATATTAGCTTATTTTAATGTAATATAATAATATTATGATAATCTAGAATGGATGTCATGAAAAGGTTTGGTTCTGCCGTACATGTTATATGAATTTCCCGTTTCTTATATATTTAAATACATTAAAATATCAACGTGAGAGGAGTTACTGTATATATTCATAGTTGGTCTTTATCAAGCTCTGTAAAATATGGAGTGAGAGTCAGTAGATTGGAAATATAAAGTTACGATTTTATGATCGCGGTCTGGTATATATGATTCTTTGGATAATGCTTATTAAACGTGTAAGCAAAGAAAATTTCAGAAAGGGTATGGATATTTTCTGATTGGTTTACACATTTCCAAAATGGTTGTCACTATGTAGATTTCATTCCGTCAGTGACATTCAAAGTAAAGCAAGATGTTATATACTTCTTTTCATTGTAAAGCTGTAGTTCACAACACCAATGGCATAATGTGTCGGTCGTGGACAACGACTTCATTCATTGTCGCGATTCAAGCTTCACCTTCAGATATGAAAATCGCGAGTTTGCGATTAAACTGCTTTATATGGGACATTCTACATCTTAACAATTATCACAAAATGGATACGATTTAATAGAAAGGAAGTTTTTTTTATAACACACCCAGTTGAACATTTGAGTGTGACGTTTCGATGACTACACGGTCACCTCCATCAGACAAATGACCAGCGTAGAGCATACGAGCACTGACGTACGGAGTGTACGACATAAATTTGAAATACAGATATAAAAACCAACATTGTACATGTATCCTGTAGATATACGCGTTACCGTTGATTCTCCGGATAAAACCACAGTATTATCATTAAAGACTGACACATTCTACTGGACGTGGTATTTAAATGTGTTTTGTTTTACCCGTGATAACTTACCTATTCTATACTGTAGGATATTGTTATTTCTTCTGTTTAGTTCTATACATGAATATCGTTTAGTGCTGCAATGAAACCACACCAGTAATTAGTGTAAAAGATACATAAATGATAAGAAACCATAAAGAATTCCGAAGCAAGAGCTTTACAACAGAAATATATACCAATATACATTGCCTTCCCAAACGCACACAATAATATTTTTCTCCATTGCATGTTTTATGGTACATTTGGTTTTTCAGCTTTTCTTATCTAAGGAGCTATACAACTACTTGGAGCTTTTCGAAAATATAAGCATCTGTTTTTATCCTGTGTTATCATGAATCAGTAGGGCTATAAACATTCGGTTTTAAGACATCTTGTGCAATGGCTAACTGCCTATTATTATGAAAGTATTTTTATTTCCTATATTACTTGTTTACTCAAAACTCAAAATTGCTTAACGATCCCCTAAAATGAAATATACAATCACGAGGATGTATGTAACAATAATATTTACCATCCATTATCAAAAACTGAGATGAGTTTATATTTTCTTTCTTCATGCGTTCTTTCCTTGCAGTGAAATGTACCAAAGTGTGAAAATGCCATAACAGAACTATTGATGTAGATTTGTTCATGCCTCCCTCTGTCATATAACACCCACTTTCCTTGTAAAATCTCGTCAAACCGACATTGTATCTGCAACAACTCGTCTCTATTTTCTGCAATTAGAAATATACTTTAAGATAATAAAATTGTATTTTCATGTGTAAAAGGGGAAGTAACTCGCATTTAGTAGTCGAACAGCACTTTGACAAGGTTACCTCATCTATGAATAAGACCGGGAAACATTCATTCACGAAATTAGTTGTCTTTAACCATTTAAGTGAACGGCACAGAGACAGATGTCCACTATAAAAGGCATTACCTAAAAGAATATCATTTCGGTGAAAACTAATAAGTTTATTTGTAAATGTACAGAATGTAACCAAACATCCTGTTTTAGATTTATTCTTACATAGTTCGATGGATCTTTAAACCGGCTGGTTTCATGACCATGCAAATGAAAAATAACGGCATATTATAATTACAAAATGGTGGAACAAAACATACATAGTGCACTTTTAATGAGCAACTACAATATGTTAAACATTTACCGCATATTCCACAACTCTTTTTACAGTGTTGTATGAATTTGTTGTTCGGTTTGTCGCATACTCCCCTCTCACGGAATTTCGCACACATTTCTTTGTTCTCGTCCTCGCAAACATTGGGATCTGTTATAAGAGATGTACAAACATATGAATTGATATTTATGCATAGAGTAACAAATAATAGAGTATAAACAATGTGAAGTTGGAAACGATTATCAAAGCAGAAAGCATTAAACGTAGGTCGCAGTTCATACGCAAAATGACAGAAACGAGATTCCTCACATCTATACATCAATAATAAAAGCAGATTGATGCTTGAAGAAAAGTTTTTTTCCTTTTTTGGCCAAAAATCCGTTTATTTATTCGTTTTAATTTGATCAAATTGTACATAAAAATGATGCGATACATTATTCTAATTTATTTCTTCTTTTATGTAAATCAGACGATCAATATGGCCGGAGAATTCCAAAGTTCATGTATGAAAATTACAGGATACGTCATAACTGTTACATTTATATATTTTTTACCTTTTCTTTGTAGATGTAGTTCGTAATAATCAAATCCAGTTGGCGGTTGACCGTCGTCTTCCACGGGACAAATAACACTGAAGTAGACAAGGGCTACAAACTCTCCATCTTGTTTCTTAGGAATCCTCTGAAGGAGAACACGATTTACATGCTAATTCATTTTTGGTATTAACCACAAATCATGTTAAAGACAGAATATGATGTTTTCTTATTGATCTTTCCGATAGTTCATGAAATGCAACAAGGATTTGCTTGAGCTACAATTTCATATAAGATTAAAGAAATCAACCATTTTAATGTGAATTTAAAGGGGTTAAGGGAAGAAACGAAAAGATTTTCTTCAAACGTTTTATTGACAAATGCATCTCCATCACAGTACAAAGTATCTTCACATACATCATACATACTGCCACTGTTGTACTCGTACATCCAAAACAGCTATAATCATACATACATAATACATGCTTCCTTAATTTTAGGTAATGTACAGCATTTTATTAATGAAAGCATTTTTTCTGCCATAGAATGCGTTAACTTCAAGAAGACAAGCATGCGTGCTTACTATACAAAACTGTGGATCTTCTTCTTCACCTGAAGCTACCATGTAAATATATTGTCCAAATTCCCATCCTGCCCAACAGTATAAGTGTTTACCTGAAGGTAAAGCCAAACGAATACAATATTGCAATGAACATACAGGCAGCACAGATGATTAACTGAAATTCAAAAACAATAAAAAATAAACCGTATTTTCTAAACTAAGACTAATCATAAAATTGTCCTTTATCATCTATTTTAATATATTGCTTTTGAGTGATAACCCTACAGATATACGGATTGGTTTGTCAGTTTGTACATCCAAAGTGTTATGTTAACATGTATGTATTACATGGCTACGAAGTGTTCCATGTTGAATAATTAATATTGGACAAGCAGTCCACATATTTGTGTCTTCATTGATGTTGAAACAGTCTTGAATTAACAACCAGCTACATTTTCTTTCAAAGGGAAGTCAATAAAGTAGTTTCACATACTCATCCTTGAAGTTTAATGCAATCCTCTGTTTAATTAAGAAATAATTTATTTATAAATCTACGTCGATTACTTTCTCATACTTTGTCAAAGCTGAGATACAATCATTAACGATAATTAAAAGAACACTCGCAGCCACATTTCTCCTGTGTGCAATGCAAAAAACGAATATAATATTTGAAAGCATATTTTGTCGTAAATCTAGGACACGAAAAAAATTATTTGCTATTGAGATTTTATCTCGACGTATTGTCTCGACCGCTCGATTTCATATTTTAACTACAACCACTTTATTACGCATATGAAGCGAGACATTTATATATACCAATACTGTTTAATTAATTTTGTTTATTTTTTTCTTGTTGATGTTATCAGTGATGAAATATATGCTATATCATAGATTATCTTAGTAACTTTAAATCGATTTTTTTTTTTTTTTGAAAACGTGTTATAAAAACAATATATAAACCTTAACTTCAACATCAAATTGTGTTTATTTATATTACCACAAAAAAAAAAAAAAAAAAAAATTCCAAACATTAAACTTCAAAACCAACTGATCTCAACCGAATTTCTGCTCATCTGCAGCTGGGAAACGTTTCAATTTGTAGCGTCCATATTGCGTTGACCTTTAGATACACTGTTAGCTTGGTTCCCTGGGGCGTATTAGTATACATGTCTTGTCAACACGCACGTCTGTCCGTCCAAGCCGTCCACTGCAGATTGATTAATTACAACGAGCTTTCAGTCTGGGCCTTATATAGATAACATGTAACATATATTACCTAATCTGTTATAAGAATTGCAAAGGACATCGCTTTACACCCGCATGGAAATTACATAATGTATTGATTTATGGGGCAAATGCACCTCCCCACCCAGGGTTTAATATTTTTGGTATTCAATTTTGTCTTTCCTCAGTCGTTTCCTAGTTTTAAAACTTTTAGCCATTCGAAACAGCTGCATCATGCAGTTAACATCATTACCTTGCTCTGCTGTATCCTCTTATATTGTATAAAAAAAGCGCTATTCATTTGTGTGTCTTGTCAAATCCGTGAAATCGAGATGGGATGCAAACATAAAACAAACTCAGTTTGATGATATTGGACTTACCACTACCGAACATAGATACATTCACGAAATAGATTGGGTATCGATAAACTTCGGCCATATACTTAGTAGATTCGCGATAAATGTGACACTGGTACTTAAAGTTAAACCGGACTTACCTTTAATTTAATTAAAAAGCACCAAATTAAACTGTCCCTCAAAACAAAGATATCTCCTCTACCGATTAATCATTTTAATTAGAGCACACACAGAGTGTAGATATTTCATTAATAACTTCCTGTTATTGAATGTAGGGGATAATGGGGCTTCCCATATGTATACCTAACTCAATAACCAGTATTCTAATACTAAACAATATTGATTTCGTCATACGAACTAATTGCATTTTAATAATTGAACCGGTTTTCAACAGCGAATGCACATATGATGTCAACTCCAAAAGTGGAAATTTTCTTTTTATTTCCTGCTAACGGTGTTAAATGTACCCGATCAACTGGTGTTTCAGTTCAATTTTCGCTCCAAAGTCACCATGAAAAATAGACTAAATCAACTGTAAATGCACCCATTAAACCATCCGCCCAGTTGATAATCCATACTACACTGACTTATACTAAATGACATCTCGATGAACAGTTGTTCTTGGTGTTTTTTTTGAGATAATTCTATTATCTTAATCAGAGTTATGAACTCAGTAACGTAACACAATTTTGATGAATACAATATGAATACACATTACAAATGATTTCAGTTCTGACATATAACCTAACATTTCTATAATCTGTGTTTATAAACAATTATGTTACTATTTTTGGAAACGATGATCAAATTTCAAGAGAATAAGACGCATATGTAAAATGTGTTGTAATAATGGAAAACTGATATCCTATTGGTATTTGTCATTTTACACTAATTTGCGTCACTAATTAGTTTTAAAGCTTGATTACATTTAATTTAAACCACATTTAATTGGGGATGTAGAAAAGTAAGCTTAAAATATTGGATATTGTATAATTTAACTTTCACAATCAGCTTGCTATGATATTGATCTGAAACAACCTATTACATAGAATGGAATAGAGCCGACATTGCGTTTGTTTCTAGCCAACATCAAACAGAAATATATGCTTATATAACCTTCTGAGCCATCGTATTTGTGGTATGGTAGGAAGTGGACCTGGTCTCGATATACTGAATTTCCTTAGTATAACTTCCATCAAATCAACAGTTTATCCCATATTTTATATGTATAGTACAGGTATATGTAATCCGCATTCTTATTTTTTAACAATAATTGAATTATGCTATCAAATGATTAATTAATTTGTATATTCCGTGTTTGATTGGAATCAAAATAATCAGTTTATATCTGTAGCAGATTATAAAACCAGTTCATTGAAAAAATAGCATTTTCCAACCTGTTATTCACTCTTATCTCAAACCTTTTTTTTACATCAATTTTAGATTTAATTAAAAACAATTTAACTAAAAATTAAAATTGATTTAATACAACATTCAAATTGAAAGTCCATGAGATATAAGTATTATATTGACTTGGCATCATATAGTGATTTGATTTTTTTTACAATTTATGTAACGATGGTTATAAGTCAATTTATCTCATGATAAGATAACTATCCCGTTATCTGTGTAATGAAAATCATCACATAGCATATATTTAGATTGACCCAGAACAGCATCCCTAGCTTTTCGATAAATTCAGTCATTTTCTTTATTAATTCATTCATTCAGTTATTTCCGTTTGATGTTGGATTTATTGAATGTGTCATGCTTTTCTTCATTTTACCTAAAATGGAAACATCTCAGACTCATTTCATCAATTTCACATGAATGGAAACTCATGTAACACCGTCTATTCATTTGACTCTGGGTTTCCCTTCCCTCATAGGAATACCACCTATGTCCTTAGCATCACTGAATAGTTATATAAGGGAATTGCTTCACTTTACTGTATCTTATCTTAAATCTGATTTAAATAGCGCTACACTGTTATTAGTCTCAAAAGGCATTCATTAGAATAAAACGTCATCACAAAGTCAGTACTAAAATTACGGCGTATGCCAAAGCTTAACAAATGGTACCATATCTGTTTCCTCCTTCCCGAACGCTTGGTATTTATACTAACAACCCTTAATAAGGAAATCAAAGGAGAATTAGAAAATAGTGTGCACTCATCTCATAATCTAAGCATTTCGTCAATTGGCTATTTGGTATCTAATGGAACGTTTGACGATTCTGTATCTAAGGTCGTAACAATGCTACTGTAAATCTAGACGTTGCAAACGGGGCTTCAATTCCAAAACCCTATTTCACCATCTGTGAAAGTCATTCTATTCTCGTTGTCATACTTTTATACTCATATTTTGTATCTTTTTTATCAATAAGTTATCGGATTCATCAAAGGATATCGCAGCAAATGATCAGGTTGTTTAAGCATAAGCGTTTCTCAATCGAACCCCAGTGATTACTACAATATATTCACAACTCATACGTTTCAATCAATCAGCTGCAGTATAAAATTGGATTATGTATAATGAAGTTGATTGTGTGATCATCGTGAAACAATCGTATGTAAAACGATGTATATAAACTTACGTTCTCCGTGAGATAAAAACGGATTGCACTTGCTGCCTTTCGGAGCTATAAAATCCAGCCCATCTCCTTTGATGCATTCAATTTCTAATTTAGATTTTCGCCAATCGGTCTCACAAATATCCTGGAAAACATTTTGAAAAGTATCTTTAACATATTCTATATCGATATTCTTTGGTGGTATTCCATTTTAAACTTTGATTTTTATGCTTCATTTTTGTCAATTTGTTGGTGCAGCATGTATATAAACATTGATGGAACTATTCCAGACTGGAAGTTATACTATTATATCTATCTTTGGTTCGTTTGACATCTCAGGTCTGGATGATCAGATATGAAGGCATTTACGCTTCCAAACATTTAGGAATTCGGAACAAATATATAGTTGTGTTAATGCATAACGCACTACAAACTTCATGATCAAATCGTGCACAAAATCAGGTGTAGTTATGACTTAAAAACGATCATGGAAATATTAAAATTGATTAAATGTGAATATAAAACTTATTTTCAATGTATCTCTGTACATATATGGTTAAAGAGATCTATGTCTTCATCATAGGAACAGACGGTAATCAATGTAATCACACTAATTACAAACGTTTTGATGACGCTGAAGTTTCTGATTGTTTCTGTCATGGCGTTATAACTTCATGGTGTCATACACATAGGGACATCACCAAATAAAAATATGTAGAGTGATAACATGACCAATTTGGATTTTGCATCAGTCTTATAAAATTATGAGTGGCATGTGATCAACTGAATCTTGCAATTATGTCTTTTTCGCAGAAGATTTATGAACCTCGTCACGAACTTATTACCTCGTCAAAGGCGCAGTTGATTGACAAATTCTCGTTTTTGAATCCCATAATAAGAGGCACATATGTAGGGTTCTTAATGTACATGTGTGATACGTTTAATTAATGGACCACTTTGAGACAGCTAATAACCTAGAATTGTTCCATTTATTATTCCTGGAGTCAAACTTTACCTGATTGGTCAGTCTACTAATTGTTCTGAATGTAAACCCTCCGCTGATTGGACAATCGGTTGCTTGTGGTTTCCATGTCGCTGTATTGCAAAGACATACCAAACAAAAACAATTAGGCAAATTATTAAATATATATATATATATATTTATTTGTGAAAAGAATTAGAATTAATTAATTTTTCATCGTTAATGGGCATTTTTTTTTTTTTTTTTTTGTGTTTGTTTTTAAGAGTAAACACAATATATAGAATAATAGGGGATCTAAAAAAGATCATTTGATATAATAATGTCTAAAAACACATGTCTTGATGTTTTGACTGTATGTTAATGATAACTCATGACGACCGTAAAGCGCATTTGCCACTCAACATCCAATTGCATATTTTTCTTTTAAGATTGCGTTCATACTGCGAGAAAAAAACGCACTACTCATCAAAATACTTCCAATGATTTCAATACAGAATAATCTTACCTATCCATGGCCATTTGTCGAGGATCATACGCTGCTGATTGCACAAATCAGGTACATTTTTGTCTCGCATGGGGCCTGCAACGACATGGAAAAGCAATAATAGAATATTCTATAGTTTGGTTATGTAGTCATAAGACAGCAATTTCGCCACTAACTCTTCATCGATGCGACTGCGGCACGGTATCGTGTTTAAAATGTCGACGTAAATGTTATTCCAACGACGCCAGGAAATTTCGCAAAACATGTCAAATTTTATTTTCTTTTGGTTTATTATGTTTCGGTATATATGTAGATGAATACACAGCGCCACATAATGTTGTTTAGAGCAAAACGTATGCGGGATTGATGCTTAACTGTTACCCTCGCAGATCAACATTACCTTTGTTTAATACACGGAATAATGTGTCAAAATGTTTTCTTTAAAAATGATGAGAATAATTTACAAATCCAAAGAATCCTTTGGGTAGCTATAGTCTCAATAAAGTCGGTTTAAACATTTTTGATTAAAATTGTTTTGTCAATGTTTTTTTTGCATTTTTGTATAATGTTGATAAATCTAGTGCGTTTTAATTTATCATCAACATGTAAACCATTACTATGATACTTACTTGCCAACGGATAAAAAAACAAGTGAAATGTTTTGATCAAAATGCTTTAACCAAAGACAAGTTAGTTCTTCAGTGTATAACAGAACTCTGTCTGGTTGTTATGTGTATAACCAATCGGCTCTCAGACAGATACTACGCGATCTAGTGACATGGATAAACCTGTATCCAACACACTTCTATATCTGCTGTTCTTATTTATTTCCCGTTTTATTTAACCGTGCAATCCTATACCTAAAAGTATAAAAATCGAGTAATTTCCAAGGAAAATACGAGTGTAACACAGTTTTATATGTTGTATTTTATTACGATGGTATAATCTGAAACAAGCCGATTTGTAGTAAAAACGTTCTTGTCCCAGTCGTTGATATTTTTTGCGATTTTTTCATCATAAAGGTAATAGGTTAGGTAGATAATGTAATAAAATGCATCAGTGCGAGGGCGCTTATCTCTAATTTTTTTCTGATCTGTTGTTAGAGCACTGACTATTAATATCTTTAGATTTCCCCACGTTGTGTGTGTATATATCCATCTCTTGTTTAAAAGCACACTAGGCAGGAGCAAAGATTACTCTCAATTTATGCTATATAGCTGTTTATTCTTTTGCCATGAAACAATTACTAGAATATTTGACGCACATGTAGTTTTCATATTTATTTTACATATCGGGATTCCCTTGGTAGGCATGAAAATCAGAATTCCCAATAGGAAAGGTTGTAGAGACGTACGCTTGCTCCATATCGTAACCAGATCTATTAAAGATCGGGGAAGCGCTTGACTTCCAGTCGTAAGGACTGATGTATCACTTTTGTATTCTACACTACACCACCATACACGTAAATTAAGTCTGTCAACACGTGGTTATGTATAGCATGCTATGCTATCAGCAACGCCGAGCCGGCAGGGGGAGTTAAGACAAATATTCTGTTTGACGATATTGGCTTTCTTGGCAGCAGATGCTGTGTAACTATGTACAATCGCAGTGCAAATTCGGCTGATCCGAGATGTCCTTGCTACGTTGTACAGGCAAATGGTATGTCAGTTTGTTTAGATCAGTTGAAGAAAATACACATGTCACTAAACATGAATAACACGACATGATTTGAACCAAGGCTTATATCTTAATCATTATGATTTCAATTATACTTAATGTATTGTTTCAGGGTAATATGAGTAGAACAAAAATCCGTGTTTTGATAAACAATTTCCAGTTTTGTAAGATTAAAAGTTCTTACTAGTCTAAAAAAAAAAAAAAAAAAACTAGAACTGTTTACCTAAATGGTTGCTGCTTTAATGGTATGGCGAGTGGCCTTGTTTTGAGGACTACATCGTTATTGGAACTTTTTACATGGTAACGTCCTTCCCGGCGGAATATGACGATGGCTCATCATGGAGCCATGTGCTCCTGGAATGTATTATAATCTATTTCCCCGGGGAAATACAATATTTTATCTATCAGTCCGGTCATGTTTTAAGCAATCATCGACACAGCTACAATGTTGAAATATAATAGGGTTTTTTTTATTTGTGATTCAACTAAACCGATATATTGAAATGCAATTAACACAAAAATTAAGCAATTATAATGAGTAACTTGATATAATTTATTTGATGATATATTGCTGTATACCTGGATGGTGAGAACGAGTTATTAAGTCAGTGTGTAAATTATAATGTCAGCAGGGGGAGTGACTTAGTGACTCAGTGAATCATCGAGTCAGTGGGTCAATGAGTAAGTAAATCACTGAATAAGTGAGTGAACAAACCCATGGGTGATTTAGTGATTGATAGAAGTTGATACACTTGAAGGCAAACGTTAACGTCAATAAAGCGTAGTACTGATCTCTTGTAATTGTCAAATTGCTGTCTTTTTTGTCTAAATGTTAATATACTGCATCAGGCTGGAAAACAATCGTCTTCCTTCTGACCAGGATAATGAAATTGGTCCAGTTTCAGCTTGTTAAAGACCACATTCCAATACGTGGCTATTTAGAACATAAAGATTAAAGATTTTAAATATCTATACTTATATACGTATATAATTCGTTTAGAAAAACTATTTTAGTGATAAGATTATTTATCTTAAAACTTAACTCTGTGATTTCTAGGTGTAACTTAAAATAAATCTGCTGTAACTGAATTTCTGGAATCATTTATTCGTCTTATAAACAGAAAGCTTCTTTGGGCTATCAGTATAAAATAAAAAAAAAATACGAAAAGATAATTTATGTAATCGATTGACAGCTATGAGGCGACGACAAGAGATCAGAATGTATAATAACATTTTTTCATAGCACTGGACATAAGTTATATTCCCTGTGACAATAAAAAACAAAGAGTATGTATTTCACTTCAGATCTAATGAAATCCATGCAAGTTTATTTTTTTTTTCTACCGCCAACGCTAGTCCCTGATGACTAGCGTGGGCGGTATCTTTATGACGGTCAAAATTTAATTTACAGGCTTCTTAGAAAGCTTCCCCCTGGAAAATCTGAAAATGAATACGGATACTTTTCGGTTGGGATGGTATAAACACTTAGTGTTTTATTGATGATTAGAAACATATATAGTGTGTGTAATAGAAACGTATCAGTCTTGTGAACAATAGAACATCAACACGTAAATCAATTTTACTCTTAATTGCAATTAGTATTATTATTCATCGACAAATAACTTCCAATCTGGCTTTTCACGCCAATAAGTTTACACGAGGACAGGCAATAACTTGCAATGCATCATATTATGAATAACAACTTACTAGTACATATACAATATTTAATGTGAGTTCAAATGCAACAGACGTGTTAAAGAAGTCCAGAGATGATAATGAAAGTGTGTTATACCTATTGTTTATATGTTTCCCATGACGAATAACCCAAAGTAACTACAACCCAGAGAGCATCTGACCCAAATATTCGGTTTATCCAAACTCTAATATTTTTCTTTAACTTAGGAATGAAGAGCTACAATATGTTTAAAATGAATGCGACAGTGCTGATAAGTATTTTGCATGACCGTCTATATTAGAAAAAAATGATGTATTGTCTTATTTCTGTAAATCCTGTAGCTGATTTATAAATGACATCAGATATATCATCTTCAACTATGAAACTACGCTACTAAACTGATGTACAACCTATGTTTATATTTATATCAATTTATGTCTGGAACAAGTAAAAATTGAAACCTAAGCTTGCATTATTATGTTTATTTGAAACCATAATGATTCTTGAAGGGAACTCCATTGCTTTTTGCCATTCTGTGAGGTTGATAGGAGTAAAAATATCACATCCATCTTACTTACATCTCATGACTGATATATGTATAGATGATACACACAATGGCACAATGGTACGCCCATTGTTGTAGGTGTTATCTGTATGTCTATATACATATCAAATATGTGTTACTATGTAACAACCAGAGAGATATAGGAAAACACTACAGATTCTAGGAAGATTGAAGTTAGATATTTTATACACTGTTTTCTCTTACAATATGCTTGTATTTGGCACTGGTGCCCTGTTCAGTGTGTAATATAGAACACATACGATAACATACTGACATATCCGGCATGATGGATGTTAAAACCTGTTTATGTCATCTTAAACATAATCAAATGTTAAGCCTCTCACAAATATTGATTAATATTTCGGAAAACAATTAATTCTGCGTATATTTTATGTCTGATTTGATTGATGTGATGTTATTTTTCAGCGTTTTGTAATTGTGAAAAAAAATAACATTTTTTGAAAAAAACTGCAAATAGCAACATGGTTTGCCTTTCTCTTTTCAATTAAAACAAAATGGCAAATGTGAAAAAAAAGACATAAGTCCCTACTTTTATCTGTTTTCCGGATATTACTGTCTAATCCTACATGGAAATAGGAAATTATAGATGGCAGTACATGCATATTGTAACATTTTGATAATTATCTGTGATTGATTTCCAAAATGTCATATTAATAATAAGTGTTAAATCTTCTTACTGGTTATCATTGCGCTATTTACAATATATGAGAAATTTGACAGATCAAGTTGCTTCTATGAAAGCTGACAAGATGTTGCGATTTGTACTTTCTTGTTTAAACTGATTGTTAAAGATTACAAACTGAGGTCCAATCTGTCTATAGCGATGCCACCTTTAGCTCCTGTACCAGTTGGATATAGCCATATCTGTGGTAAAGATGTGCCTTAGCAGGAATCGGGATAATTATGATCAGCAAAAGCAGTCACTGTGTAGTTGAATCTATTGTATGTTTTGATGCTTTGGATAATTATCTCTGCAACATCAGTACTTCAGGGTTTTAAAGTGCCGGTGAATGGATTTTGCAAGCCGAAATTCAATTGTGTTTCCAAATAATTTCCATATCCTTAATTGCATTAATCATATGCATTCTAATACCTAAATGCAGGTAATTTGCCCAGTTCCCCCAATAGTCTCCCTTCAAAGAATTATATAAAGACGCTGTAACCAACACTCCATGGTACAAGAAACAATCACTTGGAATAATCCAACTTCAGATTATTCTAGCAATGTCCATAACATACAAAATAAAAGAAGTTTCAGGCTTCTAAAGCAATTTATGTTTAATCAATCTTCTTGTCATTTGAAAACCTCAGATGGGGTATGAATTGGCAAAAGTGAACGCTATTTTAGTGCAAAAGATTCGTGTGTCTTAATTAAGGCAGGATGAAAATAAACACCGTCTAAAATAATAAATGAAATAAATTACTATTTATCTATAAAAATTCTGAATATCGGTTCATAAGAACACTACAAATTATTCACAAATTGAGTTACTGGTATAATGACTTCATGCGTCATATGAAGGGGCACCGATGGTTTGTTTTCGACATCATGGTATGTATTGATTTGAATTCGAGGCAGCGATAAAGGGGGCAAGCCGAAGATAAATCAGGTATTTGAGAGAGAGAAAGTAAACTGCAGAATGCGACATTGAGTGTCCATAAAAACAATGTTTGTTAAATGTAAAACAGAGGTTAATCTTAAAACTGAGTGGATATTGCTATTCATATTTCCAAATGTATTGTAAATATCACAGACAGGGTGTCCAAATGACCTACATTAAATATTACTATTCATTTGTTAAAATTCATGTAGTGGATTTGAGGTATCAAAACATAATTGCACATGATCTGATATGTCACATAATAAATGATATTGCCTCTTTGGTAAGCCGATATAGCGAATTTGGTGAACCCACTTTAAATGCAATTTGCAGAGCAATAAAATTAGCAAAGCTGCACATAATAAACGATATATTGAAGATGGACGCATGTTACACTCCTTAATATGATTGTCGAGTCCGTTATTGTTGACCCTTTTCCTTTGATAGTGACATATCTCGAATCACGGAATAAATTTCGTATCTGTAAACATTTCTTGATGAAACCTCTTGAATAAATCCAAAAAAATTAAGTTAGATTTGACAACAAAATATTGCATATTTGACAAACTCAAATAAAGAAAATAAATATGGATGAAAACATTTTCATGGTCGTAAACCTGTCATTATTGGTGAACTTATTTTGACGGTAAAAATCGGACGGTTTTGCTAACAATATTATTTAAGTTTAATTATTTGATGCCATCGTAAAACGGCGTTAAGGTCAACATCAACATATCACACACTAATGAGGAATTTCATTTGTATATACGGCATATTGGTAAAAGGAAGACATGTGGCTTACAGCAAATGTTATTATACAAACTTTAAATGACTATAGAGAATTTCGATTGATGAAATACCACGTGGTATACCTGACACCTACCTTGAAATGTCTGAATGACCGTGTCACTCCTCTTTATGTACATCATACAGATATATACCGGCGATCTGAAAAGGGTAAAATAAGAAATGTTATTGTATCAATACTCCAAGTAAAACTTAACAAATATTAAAAATAAACTTCTTCGCGTCATACTAGCAAGATAAACTTTCTTAAAGACATCCTTGAAACGACCTTTGTAATGAACGTGAATCTCATTCTTAGGTAGATAAACCCAATTCCCACATGAAGTTGATATATCTTTGTATTGACACCAATACAAGAAAAAGAAATCATATTTCTATATGGATTGTTCTTTTCTAAAGTCATCAAAATCATCAGTTTCGGTCTTGATAGAAACCTGCATTCTCATCAACAGAAGGTTAGTTGGCGTCTGCTGTTACGATATCATGTCATTCATTTCAAAAATTGCCACCGGGTGAGATTGCTCATGTTACGTGTCTACGAATACCGTAAATATCAGAAATTGCTTTAATCTCACACGAGTATTGCTTTATTTGTGCATGTCAAGTGTATATAATGCAATGCATCTCTTCCTGTCAAAAAGGGATCCAATATGTGTTAATATTCCTCAATGTTATTTATTAAAACCGCTACTTAATTATCGAAAGAAATGTCCTAGTTTTCCCTATGTGTAAACCAAACTGAAAAGCGAAAAGATTGGACCCGCCGAAGAGATACATCTAATAATTTCAACTGCCAGATATATGATAACAGATGGTATTTAACTCTAAATTCATATTGACTGACATCATGGCTACTACATCAACAAATCATGATCGACACTGGTTAAACAATACATTCATTGGTTTGTGTAAACAAAGAACGATCTGGCTATTTCACTAACTTAATATAGAAAACCTACACCTAGCGTAACTACTGCAAGTAACAGGTGAATAATCTTATATTTAATTTGCATGCACGTCCAGATAAAACTATGGATATTACGCTGATGCATAAGTAAAATCCATTGTAACATCTTTTTGTGTATGTATCTAGGTCAGCACATTGTGACAGTGTTCTTATATAACAATGTTTGAAGTATATTACCTGCTTCCCATTCTTTTATATATTTTATATATTTGTTATATTGTATAGAATGTTACCGAAATGCATCACCTTCTTTTGACAGCACGGATACGTGATGTTCAGTTGTAAGACGATGCGAGCTATTGTCTTGTTCATATTGACGTGATGAGCGAATCATCGACCCCAGCACGGGATTATGATGTCATTATGACTGTGATGTCATCATCTAATATTTATAGACGCGTGTATAGGAAATATGGCATTTATTAAGTATATAAAAGCAATACAAATTAGGTAATTTGTTAATATGCTGATATTAGGTATATATTAATGTATACATATGTACAAAGCATATAGAAAATCCTCACCAAGTTTATCTTATCAGTCCGGATAAATAACTATGTTGTCTACATGACAGATACTAGTTTCACATTAGTGCGGGTTATAACAGATAGTATTAGACAAGTATCATAAATAAATAAGTTCAAATGTGTGAATTATCTACATCGCAACCACAAATATATGAAGTGACCATTTGTAAAATTGCTAGGAGCGACAGAAGATTAACAAAAGCCAAATCTACAATATAATTTACAATATCAACAAATAGCACAACATACACAAAACACGATGTAATACAATGTCACAAGATAATGACTGACAGATGATAACAAAAGAAAAATAAACAAAATAAATTATCCGAAACATAATATCCAAAAAAGGCATATTTTTTTCGATAAAAAAGTAAAGTATTATAACAGACTAGATTATATAACAAAACTAATACGCTGACTATTCAAATATCACATTTCTATATATCTATGAATTAAATCTTTATTTATTGAGTATATATATATACGGTATATATACAAATAAAATAAAACTATTATGTTATAACCTGATGCCAATTCTCTTTCTTCCTTTTTTTTATTATTATTTCAATTTAAATCTCTGTTTGAAGATCGTTTGGTTTTAAAAAAAGCTGAGCAATAAAGGGTTTTCGATTTAATCAAGTTACAGATTGGTTTAATCAACCTTTTACCGATGTCTTTGTCATTCAAATGTCACAGAAGAACCGTAATTGAAAGAGTCGACCAATTTTATTCGTAACACAAGCTATAGTTCACTGCAAATTTAATTTCCGGTACAAAATAAAGTATAAAAGGACAAACATCTTTAATGAAATGGAAGTAGATATTGTTCCTCTCTGTCTACGTCATATATACAGGATAAAATCCCTCTACTAGTTAATTTTTCAATATTTTCGAAAACTCTATTATTCATTATATAATTACGAAAAAAACTACAGTAGGAATACAAAGTCATTGTTTTATGGACATATTATTTCATCAAGCATCATCTCTGAAGGCCAAGCATTTGATAGACGTTTTTTTGCAAATATCTCGTGGAACTCCTTTCACGTTCTATACCCGTATACAAGGTGGTTTGGACAGATGCATTTAGAGTTTCATTATGTTTTGTACGTAACTTAAGGCTGGCAGAGATTTCAATTACGTTTAATTGAACGTATGCGTTCCAAATATTCTAACAAAAAATATTTTAGATTGTATTGTGGAAGCAAACCCAAATAATTTGATTGTCCTTCCCAGTTGTGGTTGTGTTGATGGCGCAAGTCTATGAGGGCATTGACCAATTCGAAAGACCAAATAAGTTGAAAGATTGCAATATGATGTTTATAAGTAAATATAATTAGAAAAATAATAAAAATGTAAATTATTTTGGAGATTTAATTTAGTCATGAAATAACTATTTCATTTAATTCCTAGTTAATAGTAATACAAAACATTTTTCTTGATATCACCTCGGTTCAGAGATGAGTTCTATTTAAGGTGACGCCGTAGCTCTTAAAACGTCATTATACGACAGAAACTCACATCTAAATTGAAAATACATTATATTGTCTTTATGTATGAATGTATGAACCCGTGTGCAGGAGTGCAAACATTCGCCTTAAAAATATTAAGAGATTACAATATCTCCGGCTATACTATACCTGTGCTATTTCTGTAAAACAAATTCTAAAAGTGACGTCGTTTGGGATTTGGTTATACCAAACATACAAAATAATGAGTATTTCCTATAATACAAATGCTCTCTGACATGACATCAGTAAATTTATACATGAGAGGTAAATGACACTAACGTGGGGGTAAATAAAAGTATTGCTTTAGCACACAGGAGTGGCAAACAAATAGCGTAATCCGTCTAATAAAGTCCCAATTCAAGACAACAACGTGTTTACATATATAGAAGCTACAGGTAAATATGTCTATGTTAATCCGATAACGAAGAACCCTATAACCTCTATATCTGCGTGTGTAAAACTCTATACCAAAACAGTAATGACTGGTACGTAAACAAACAAACAATCTAAACGTTTAATCCTCTTCGATTTTTATACGATGAGGTTAGATTGAGGGAAGTGGTTCCGACAGCGATCACTTATGCCACAACTTGGAGTATTCAAACGATTAAATACATTGAATGGTAGTTGACAGTGTTAATCCTGCAAGAGTGTCGACCAGTTTTTCATTTTCATTCAGAAACAAAAATCCAATACAAAAATCCAATTTACTTTGAGTGTTGTTTTAGAAGGCTAGGTTAAGAGGGTTATATTGAGAGGCCGTGATCACAACCAGCTTGGCAATGTTGGGGCGATCGATGTTTGCTCTGATTCATCCAATGATACACATCTCTGTTCAGCAATAGACTATCAGTCCATCGTCTACATATTTGCGGCAATGCATACGAGGCTGTATTTACTCCTATATATCATTGCTATATGATTCCTAATATTACTACAATCTAAATATGATATATGGAGGTTGACACATATCGGGATTAATCTTGATGAGGTGAATTCTTGCTTCGGCTTCAAAACAATCGGTTTACATTATATACGCAGAGAGTTGGTTTAACGATGCTTTCGTTTACATTATTACAAGACACAATTCTTCTATTGAACACCAAAAAACTTAATGAAGGGAGATAACATCATGGTGGAATATATGTTCAGATATCTATAAAGCTTTCATTGCTTAAGATAGTAACTGCGGTCATTTGCATGCATCGATTCAATTGACTTTTTGACAGGTCTTTAAAATATAAAATGTGAAGGTCATTGTCAAGCGGAGCCAGCCATTTTGTAGCGTCACTATCAATTAACGACATGATGTCATTGTCCATGCTATGGTGTTTCGATCGACTTCTGAATGAATGGTACATCTTACTGGGGCGAATAAGAATTCATTTCGGGCGGATTATGTGTCTTGTCACTTATGTATATCTGTCTGATATTCTGCTGTACAATTGCTTTATTATAGAGAAAGCAAGGCAACAAAAAGTTGTAAGTAAAAACAAAAAGTAAAAAAATAAATAGATTGAACAATGTTAAATCATGGAAAAAACATGATCTTGCAACTTTTACAATTTATGTTTTATATAAGAGGAAAAGTCGCAAAAATCAATAAATTGTATCTAATTTAAAAAGTAAACCTACGAAAGACCGTTAATAAAACAATACATTAAAACCAAATAACACTGCAGCTAAAAGTCAGTTGTAGACGTGATTCAGTTATTTGGCGATACAGGCTACCGCTTAGGTGTGTGTTTCTTTTCAAATTTAGATAATTCAGAGAGTCTAATTGCAAGAGTCACAATGCATTGTAGAGTGAGGTCAGTCCATCTGCAGTAAACTGTGTCCTAATATCTGCCAGTAAATCAGGGAATGTTAAGGTTACATTTGAGCATACACGCATGACTTTGTAAAGTAGTTTAGCCATACGCACACTCACACACAGCGTGTATACATCTCTCTTAATATCGGATGTTATTGAATTTACACTCTATTTAAATAAGGAATAGAATAATATTTTGTTAGTAGGCGAGAAAGAAGCAGAAATGCTGAATAGTGCACTTTATTCGTTCAAAGTGAAGAGATAAAATCAGGCAGAACAAAGTGGGATACAGGCAAAGATAGAATTAAATAAATGATAAGACGATTTATTTCGATACAGCTAAATCTTGAATTTCTAAATGATGTATCATAACGTAGAAGCAGTGTAGATTATTAATATTGTTAGAGGTAGTATTGACAATGTCTTTTCAAACAAAATTCATGAAAGTTTTTGTTACAGCAAACAGATGATAAGTTGGAGTGCTATGTATACGGCAGTTAAGCACACTAAACTGCAGTGTATGCGTAACTGTTAGCACGTCCAGATTTACGCTGACCCCGTACCCTATAGACACTAATGAAATGGCGTTATTTCTCGGCTCAAATCAAACAACATGGCTTCTTGTTTATTGATTTTGTTTTACTTTAAACAACTTCAAAGAGCACTCGTACTCGTAACTTTTAATTTCTAATTTATTTTAGGGAAGCAATGCTCTGCTGTAATGTAATGTCCAAGGGACTTAACTAAGAAATGGAATTTAACATTCTTATCCACCAAGCACCCCACGTAAACAGTGTATAACGTGCCATGCTTTCTACGGAGCAACGCAATTTTCACATCAAATCTCTGATTAGCTTTCTGTCGTTTGATAGCTGAACGAGAGTTCAGGGGATTGAGAGCCTCTTTATTTGGAGTTTAATACAGCGTGGTTATCGTATATTTCCTTCTTAAGACTTGACTTAACAGACTTTATTTAAATTTCAACATGTGACCTACAGTCGTACTTTAGAAAATACATAAAATAAATTGTATAATTCTTGCAAACAAACAAGATAAGAAATTGCATGATGAATACACATTTTCTGTATATGTATATTGATTTAAACAATCATTGCTCTAACATTAACATGTTTAGCACTGAAAATTCACTTGTCGTTTGCAGTAACACCAGGATGTAATACTATAAAATGCAATAAGCAATATTTTTTAAATGTAGTCATTTGAAGACTTAAATGATCAGGAATTGACATCAACCTAGATTGAATATATGGAGACTAATACTATCTCAAAATATGTATAGTTTTCTCAAAGTTAGCTAAAGATTGATATCCATCTAGTAAACTATAGAAAGTGTGACGACGTAGTGATAAAACAAATGCTAGTTATACTGTATTTCATACACTACAACTGGATGACTTAGTGTGAACGAGATGTCATGATACACGATTTATAATTCTATAATAAAACAGGAAAATTGGAACATTTAAATATAAGTTGTTAATCCATAATCCAGATCGGCTTGGTATTATAGAAAGACACATAAAATTATAGTGTCGGTTTTCGGCTTCTGAGGAATAACTGCAGCTGGAGGCACGGCCTTGTCATTACTCATTTATCATATATGAATTGAAAACGGAAATTGCAGTTTGCTAATTACCCTGCTACATTAATTAATCACTTTACACGACCATTAAAGACATTGCATTTTGTCCTGGAGCAGCATTTAACTTGATATAAGGATAATTAACGTCACGTCTTGTTACACTCAGGGGTATAACTTTCGGGCACTGATATCAATGAAAACAAAAATTACTACCTCACTGCTACAACGGCAAGGTATATGTCATTGTGAACGAGCAGGGTGTGATAGGGAACGGCAATCGGATGTAGTTAATTCTATACCTTCAAACGTGTCATATTGTAACGGAAACAGTTATTGCCGCGGAGTAGATTTTAGCAATACTGATAAAACAAAAACTAATCGTATGGAAGAGAATGACTCTGCAGACTTGTTCATTATGTCAAAGCGTTTAATTTGCAAACAGACATTTTCATTTAATTTACCATGGTTCAGTGGTACGTTTCATATGTCAAAATCATGCAATGCGTACACCATACTTTTAATTTTGGTGTTCGGTCTTAATTAATTCCTCATTTTATGATCAACAACGACAAGCAGATGTGCTGCATTCTTTTTCAACAATCGCGGACAATAAATGCATGGAAAACTACCCCAAATGTTGATCGTATTTGCACTGGCATCATGTAAAGTAATCGGCAATGTGGTGGACAAGCCAAAGGAATTCAATGAAGTTTCACTTGACATTGTATATCCGACCAATAACTGATAAAGAAATAGCATGTTTGTCAGAGACATCGCCGGGATTGAGACGAGATATCAACGACATTGTTTTAGTAACATGGAATTGAAAACCAGCATTGAGACACTTTGGACTGAGAGAGATAAGTTATTCTAAAGTAGAAAATGCTAGATTATCTCAGAACGGAGTATTTTTGCTTTTCTTTATGGGATTGACAAATTGTTATTTGAACAACAAGGAGCATGTCAGCATAATCATAATTCACACTTAACTTCAAGAAAACTAGGGCAAAACAATACTTAGAGAATGAAGACTTCTGAAATAATAGAACACGGGTCCCAGGTGGTTCGGGAGATAAGTGTCTTATGCTTCATCGACGACACCTGCCATGTTAATCGAAGTATAAAAATGTTACGTTTCTAAATGAGAACACAGCAGAGCCAACAGTTAGGCAGAGAACACTGTTGTTAAGAGCCAAAAGACACGTACTGCTACTAAACAAGATGTTAAAAATTGGCAATACATTTTTCCTAAACTGCATTTTGATTGCATATTCCTAACTGGGCGAACGTAGACATTGTTTTTATATAACATAAGCATGGATGTGTGGAGGTTTCATGTATGCAGCATTATCGTTGTCGTACAAATATATCATGTTTGAAATATAAAGTCATGCCTCTATATCTCGAAGTCTGAAAATATCTTTTTCATGAGATTTGTTATGTAAAAGATTACCATATCATTGTCGTTAGTATTTAACATTTTATCTTGCGAATCCCAAAGCTCCAATCATCATAATATAAAACATTTACTGCTGGAGAACGTAGCATGCCAAAGTTCTATCTTAATACAAAGGACGACAAAACTTACCTCCCTGGTGTATATTGGACGATTCTGTACTTATTGTAACCCTCTTGTATAAGACAGGTCCTATTGTAAAGTAATGTTCGGGTCACGCACTTTCCAAAAGAGGGCGCTTCTAAAGATACTCTACGAGTTTTTTTCTCGCATGGAATATAGTCCGTCTCGCGTTGATACCACATATTTGACCCGTCTACGTAGATTTCTTCGCGCTCTTTCCATCTTGGTTTGTCTCGAACATTGATCCACCAAGTCCTTGTTTTCCAGGGTTGCAATTCGCCTTTGATTACTCCACTTTGTAAATAGTCTGGATAAATGCACTCGCCATTGTAACCTGAAAGTTATATTTGATATTAACAGTATTTTCGTCGGAAGTGTTTGTTTGTATTGTACAAAAGACACAAAAGTAAATTTAAGAATTCGAAACATTTCAGTCAAAAAAGAAAATGAATTAAGCTGTGTTATGTTCATGACGTAAAATTAGGAAATCTAAAAGGGATCTGAAAAAAAATATCGAAAGAAACCTCAAAATCTATATTATGAATTAGCCCCATAATTCAATACATTTCATAATGTCCAAATATTGGGTGAATTTATCACGTTAATAACAAGAAAATTGTGTATCCTGGAATGATTGCAATATGTTTTGTACAAGAAAAACACAATAGTAGCCGACACTGTATATGAAATGGTTGGAGACGTTCAAGAACTAAAAGATAAAAGTAATCTTTTAGATCTGACAAATATTGTGCAATTGGAAATATTCGCTGATGGATGTCCAGCAAGAGGAATCTAGATAGTTAATGACGCACTTAATGAACAAAACTACCAACATGTCCTGCAAATACCATAGAGAGAACTGTCAAATTTATGCTAGCGGTCTTCCATAGCTTTTTCTCTCTCCACAATTATCAAAAGACGATACTTGATATCACACTATTATCACGTTTTCAAAAATCAATCCTGTTTGAACAGTATGTTTGCGTGCTCAACCTGCATAAAAATCTAAAGACCCAAACGGTGAGCATGCTTGTCATCACAGGATATCAAGGTGCAAGATCAATTATCACAAAGTACAAAAAACATAACATTAAAATTCGAATTTTTTGTTGCAGATTTCTTGGTAAAATAGCCGTAATGGCGTCATGCGAAGATCGGAACCTCTTAGGGACTATTCTGTAACCACAGATTCTACGAGAGATGAAAATTAGATTACAGTAACGATATATAGAAAATTAGATCTCGCGCTTAAGCAGAAGCGTCTATAATATAATTTGTACACTTCAGCACGGCACACAAGAAAATTTGACTTCTAATGTAGTTAAGGCTTAACTAACCCATATTAAGTTAGTCATAGAAATAGCCATTTAGATGTTGCTTTTCTTAGCATCGGGTTTCCGCTCGCCTGTCCAGCATTGTAGTTAACTGTTAATAAATGGACAATCACTCCCCACTATAGCAATACAGGCTCTAATAGGAATTGTCTCGCTGGAAGCAGTTCCTTGCCATTGTGTTGTCCGGGAGGCATCAGACATTGTCCGTGCTCCGCTGCCTATGGCGTTTTTGTTCGAATTTTTGCTATTGGTCTGTTGGGCAGAAAAGGCATTGATGAATGCTTTGATTCGTTGTGTTGAGAATAAAGTTCTTTTTCTTTGTATGAATATTACCAGATGTTTGTCGGATTGGTTTCTATTTGCGATATTTGCGCTTGCCTATCGATAAGATCTTATTGGGGTTTTTTGTTCAAATAATGGCAACACCACAGATATATAAATATGTCAGTATTATTTATCATCCTGGGGTTAACTGGACTGTTATCCTTCCTTTCAACAGGTTGTCACATCCACATGAATAAAATAAGATTGACATATAGGTAAACTATTTCCAAAAGGCTTAAGCATTTCTTTATCAACGATGAAAAGGTAAATTATGTCAACATGTAAACCAAAATAATGACTTTCAAAATATCATTAGTTTTCCATCAGTACAAGTAACATAGCTTTTCAGCATACATGCTTTAAAACGTACTACCTATATCAAAAGTCCAACAAAATGTCTTTTTACAAGAATGGTCTTGTTTCTTTATATACATATATAACTAAAGTAGATCTCTAAACCTCCATTTACTATTTATATCAACATTGCTCCCTTTTCCTCTTAGTCTTCTATCGAAATACTACTCATTTCTGTCCTCACTAACAAAATAGCCAATTTCTGTTCCTCAATGTAAAGGTAACAACATTTGCCTAAAAGTACCGTATATGCCATTCATCAGTTTGGAAACAAGAACTTTGATGATTTTATTGATAACAAAAGCGGGGTTTATTAAAATGTTATAATATTCTATCTGCGCATTAACACATATTGTTATAAACGGCGAAATTTAGTAACAGCTGGTATCGTTTTGTTGATTCATCAGACTATGAATAATTCTATTCGAACAAGTGCTATTTGAACAATGTATGTATATCATGAAAATTACAAAGTTGACCTATTTGTCGATATCGTCGATAAACATCGATTTCCATTCAACACAGCCATAGACGTTTTTAAACTTTACCCCGGAAATGGTCGACTCTTTTGAAGTAGCATCATATTTTATTAACGACCCGGACGGGACGTAAATGGGAGAAAAGGAATACATTACAGGACATAATTAAAATGACATCCACCATTTCTGATATACAAATAATGATCAGATGTGCTCATGTCACTGTCATTTAAAGTATGGAACTTGAAAGTCATGCTATATACATACGATGCATCAGTCAGAATATGACAAATCTTAGAACATAGTTTACAGCTGTAATTGGAAATTAAGATTGGCAAGTCTATTATAGAAACACAGTTTGAAGCAATAATTAACCAGAGAAAACTTGTCTAGGGAGAGATATAAACATGTATACGATTTAATGTAGTGACAATACCGACGTTTTATGAGGTAAGGACATACGTGTTGAATACAAGTGGATGTATGTCTGTGTTTCTTGATAGTGGTGATTCATAGAGTTAAGACGAAGGATTGCCTCTTTGGGACTACTCGAAAGAGGAAATCTACTTTTTGATAATTTTTAACGAAATTTCACGAAGAAACTACTGAATTTAAGCACACTTCTAATTTTTAAAGTATTTTGGTATACGTCATAAACTGAAGCAGTTATTTGAGTAAGTGTAAAGTTGTTTGGGCTGTTTGAAACTTTATTACTGAAGCATTCGGTTTTGTAAATGGAACCTAGTAGACCTCCCTATCGATTACTATATTCATTGTGGTAAGCTTTATCCTTTTAAGTGTACTTCAGAACCTCTTAGGTCCTATTAAATCGGTAGATCTGTGATAACTGAATGTTATTCTTTATTTCATGGTAATTTCAACACTATAAACAAAATTAAAGGTCTTTATTCGATTTCGTCTATCCCCGTGGCGAATGAAATCTTAGATATAAAAGACAACTACATACTTGTTTCTATTGTTTCAGAAATTTTACAGCATCAACAATACGATTATTGATCAATTTATAATAATACATTGCACGTGCTAACAACTTATGTTTGATATAAATCAAAGAAAGGAATGGCTTTGTGGTATAATTGATGGTGTCTGAATTCGCTATATAGAGTCTTCATAGTGACATGGCAAATACATTAGCAAATAGCATGCGTAATAACAACTGAAACATTAAGTCTTCCATTTGCGAGCACGGTGTTACTTATTCTCATATATAACAGATGTCGTCAATAAAGCAGAAAACGCTAATTATGTTGAAACCTTTTATTTTCGTTGTTTCTAAGGGTCTTTATGTAAATGTTTCTGGGAACATGAAACTTTAAGCATGCATCCCTTGGTTATTCAAAAAATTATTTATTTTCAACCAACTGTGAAACCAGCTTTAAGTTTATATTAACCACTCTTTTGTTGGCCCAGATTGGGGGTCTCACTGTGGCAGGAAGTAGCCGTGGAAATCCCACGAGGCCTTTTGCAAGTCCGTTGGGAAAATCGAACCGCAGACGTATAGGCAAGTGTTCTACCAATGCATCACCCGATCACTCATTCCTTGTTTTCTTCCTGATTAGGGTCATCTGAAAGGTGACAGTTTTGAAAGTTGTTTATATGACCGGAAGAAAATATGTTGTAGCTGGAGAAACTCGTAATTCATGTGGTAGATTGTTCTATTGGGACAGTACTTTATAAAACTGTGCCATACATTTTCTCCAGTTTTACAGCTAATGTGCCCTGTAGTAATGGTGTTTGTCTGTTACAGATATATCACACTGTTTTAGCTAAGTACCCACAGACAGCACGTTGTCTCCACTTGTCATCATTAAAACGTTTTATTGAGTATCCGAAAATGAAAATAGATTCACATGAAATCAAGCACTTGTTATACTTTTTTAAACATAAGAAATGAGTGTTAGCAATAGGTGTATAACAGTCTGCTTGTTCCACTGCCCTGGTCTTTAAATCATTGTCAATGTTTGGTCGTACGTATTTCCCTCTGTAGCTATTTGATCCCTTCTTCAAATATGATAATGAGCCAAAATATCCTTTTTGTAACCACGTTGTCATTCACTTTTTCAATGTGATAAGGACAACATTCGAAATATTTGTTTCTGTACTTGATTGGTAGCATGTCGTTCAATACAACAAGTTCGTATCTTTAATATATTAAAAAGATATTTACAAAACAAATCACAATTGTTTCTGTTTTGGGGCTATTTTTAGCGACGAAGCGATATTGTTAGAACAGTGGTTTTGATCATTAGAAATCACCAGAAAGACAAGTATCGTAATTACAAGCATCCCCATGTCGTTAGTCACTTTACACCTACGGTGACTGGTGCATCGCCTCACTGTACTTTGAATACTAATTGAAACAAAAGGATGAGTGCAGAAGTCATTTTAGCACATTGTTACACAAATCACTTACGTGTCATTTTTTTAAGTTTGTAAATGGTATCTACCATACAGAGGGACAACGATGGCAAAATACAATGTACACAGACTAAGAAAGGTGGTATTACAACATTTGATCAATCTTACAGATATCCTAAAGTTCGCTTGTTGACAAATCACCTCGTTGTTTACCTTTCACTTTTTTAATACTCCTGTTATCCAGATACTATTTATAAGTAAACGTCACTAATATATTTCACCCTGAAGTATTTTTTCATTGGCTGCACCAGTCAGGTTTCGAGTGTGACGTCATCATGCGGACAATGATCACAATGACGTTATACTATGAACTGAAAATGGCTCAGCTAAATAGCTGTCTCCGTTTATTTTTTTCCTCCAAAATAATCTTACTTTAAAAACTGTCAAAATTTAACCTTTTTTAG